AATAAAAATAATTTAAATTGAGAAGTGGAAATCATGGTCTCATTTGGAAAATGTGACAAGAGTAGACAGTAAGTCCCACTGGGACAGTATGAGACTACTATTGAATGTTAAAACCATGTAATGGGATCGGTCGAATTGGTAATGAGACTATCAAAAAATCTGGTCCTGGTCCCAGACACGGTCACACGGTCAGTCTAATGTGACTTAACAACTTCAATATGAAGAGATTCAATGATTAACTCATGCAATTTCAACATCTACAGAATTAAATATAAAAGCACTGAAAGAATATTTAGATACTTCTATATATTTTAATACTTCTAATCTCACTCTCTACTCATTATAAAGAATGAAAATGCTTATAAAACTGAGTATAGATGAAGATGTCATCAGTTTATTAATCAATCAAGATTAATATATTAATGAATAATTGAAGAATTGTATGAAACAGAAGTTTCATTCATGAATGAAAGCATGTGAATCAGTGTTATGAATATCTGATAATATTATTAAATATCTTGATATTCTGTTCTGAGACACTGCTATGTAACAGAAAGTATTAGATTGATTACAGAGTATCTGATAGAGAAACATTTCTCTTACAACATTTATCTCTGACTTCAATATCAAGATCTTAGAAGCAGATAATCAATCTTGAGAGAATTGAATGAAGATTAGCATGCTCAAGAAGACATTAACTTTCAAACTCTTACAGACTCTTATAAGTGTAAATAAAGACTTAACTTATGAAGGCTTCTGCACACAGCTCTGAACATTGAATAACTGTCTTATCAAGCTCAAGAGTATATAGAACAGTGATAGAAGATATTACATCTCAGTCACTTATACATCTGTACTGAAGAATAACAATAATGCAGATATTATAAATTGAATAGACTTAAATATCTATATATAAGCAAGGGTCTTCATTATCTGAACAGGCTTCTGAGTTTCTGAGATCACTTCTGAAGAAGTCACTGATCAATATCAATAAGAAGTATGTATCAACTGTAATTAATCAGAGTATATTACTTTTAACTGCTGATTAATCTATATGTTTTCTTACTTAAGAAATGAATCAGTGTCTGTCTGCATCAATCACATTGCAGTGAAGAAAGATTTGAAAGATAACTACAAGAATATTCTAATGAAACAGAGAAAAGATTAGCTTCTATTCAAATTTACAAACAGAAGCTTGAAGAGATCAGATGATAATAATTTGAAGAGAAAATAACAATAAATGTAATTCTTGTATCTACTGTGATTGATAACATGTATAATATGAAAGCTATGATAGATAGTAGTCTATGTTACTATACAATGATAAAATCTTCAGTTGTAAGACATTATAATCTTCAGTATATTCTCTTATTAAAACTCTGACTTCTCACAGAATTTGATGATTCAAAAGATGTTTGTACTTATTACATAGTAAAACTAAACATAGATGTGAGAGAACATCAATGTGAAGATGTCTATGTATATAAAGTTGATAATCTTGATTATAATCTTATATTAGAACTTGTCTGACTATCTGAACAAGGCATCTTATTAAATGCTTAAAACAGAAGCTTGATATTTTCTAACAATAATAAGATTCACAAAGATGATATTTATAAGACTATGAATCTTACACAGATCTCTGTCAACACTTATAAAATACTCTGAAAAAGAAGTTATTATCAAAACCATTAACAAGATCACTGATAGTAGAATCATGTATCAATCTATTCTGCCAGTCTGATTAATATTAAAAAGGCTCTAGAAAAGTTATTCTGTGTTATAACAATAGATTCTTATACAAAACTCTCTTAATAATATTATGAATATCTAGATGTCTTCTGATAAGATAATAATGTTACAAATCTACCTCTCTTACGAGGTTCAGAAGTGAATCACAGTATTAAGTTAAAAAAGATAAATGATAAGAACTCTGAATTATCATGAGACTCTCTTTATAATATATTCTGAGATGAACTTCTCGCGATTGTACACTGTTTAGAAGAATGAGACTCTGAACTCTGAAGCATCTCTGAATTTGAGATAATCACAGATTATAAGAATCTCAAGCACTTCACAACTATCTGTAAACTTATTAAACAACAGATATTATAATCTGAGTTCTTAAGCTGCTTTCATTTTATAATACACTACTGTTCTGACAGTCAGAACTCGATGACAGATGCTCTCTTATAACAAGAGCAAGATATGTCATCTGATATAATAGATACTTACTGAATGAATCAAGAGCATCAGCTCTTGAATTTGAAGATATTAGTTGATCAAGATGAAACAGCTTATAGCACTATACACACTTCTCTGATTAGAACACTTTCTCTTCAAACTGTCACTGACACTGACACTGATACTAATACTGATATCTTGACTTCTTCTGAATCTACACTGAATGAATTATAGTATGCAACAGCTCAAACTGATGAACTTCTTCAAGCACTTATTAAAGTAGTATATCAAGAAGTACTCTGATTCCTCTCAGAACTACATATAAGAATTAACATCTCAGAATACTTAATCAATGATAATAACACTCTGCAGTTCTGTGAATAATGTTGAGTTCTCTACTTCAAACTCTTATACACTCAGATAATGCAAGAGATGCATAATTTGTATATAACTAATCACTTAGATTATAAACAATTATATTAAATAATCTCTTGAGAGTTCTACTGATCTGAGATATTAAACAGTATCAAATATTTCATTTGAAACTGTAACTGTTATTCTTCTATTATCTTATGAAAGAACTGTAAAAAAGATCTACTGAAATCACTCAATATCTCTGATAGAATCTGATAAGATGTAATAATTAACTTCACTGTTAATCTCTCTAAGAGTAAGAGTTATAGAAACATTCTAATCATTATAAATTAATTAAGTAAGAGTATAATATTAGAATCTTGTAATAAGATGAATACTGAATAAGTTATCAAAGCTTTTCTACAGAGTCTGTTCTATTGAATGCATGAATTACTGAGATTCATAGTATCAGATTAGAACTGTCAATTTATAAGTACTTTCTGAATAAGAATCTGTCAAGTTCTCAAGATTATATACTGTCTGTTAACTGTCTATCACTCTGAGACTGATGATATATCAGAACAGATAACTCAGACTATAAAGAATTATCTCTGTAAGTTCTGTAACTACTTATAAGATGATTGACATGATCTGCTTCTATATACAGAGATTACTATCAATGAATAAGATATCATTTCAACAGATGTAAGTTCATTCTTTCTTATATATAATTATCACATGAAAGTGTTGAATCTTCTAAAGATTATACAGTTTATATTAAACTTCTGCAGTCTGATTCAGATCACTGATAATATAATAATAAAGCTCTGAGATATCTGTGACTAAGCAGAGATCTTCATGATAACTGTGAAACAAGATCAAGAGAATTAAATTAATATTTATCAAGACTCTGCTGAATAATATAAGATAGAAGACTTAATGTAATTGAATCTTAAGAATATACAGATTATATATTCATCTTATACACTGAATTATCATCATATTAAGTATAAAGTGATAGAAGTTCTAGATAGTTATAACTATCATCTTAATATATTATCAGAGATTCATAAATCATAATGTCTTTTATACAAGCTTGCTTTGTCACACTGTCACTGACTCATTTTCTTCTCAACTGACTTTCAACTGACAGCTGTCAGGCATCATAGAAGAAGATAATAAGCTTAAGTAAGAGATTGAGAATATTCTCAATGAGAGATCTCACAGCTATAACTGATAATATTTTGTGAAATGAGTCAGCTATAATTAATCAATCTGAACTCTGAGTTCTGTATTATCTGAAACAGTAACTCTTAACTGATGAGAACTGCTTCTGAAAGAGAGAAACTAATATAACAGACTATGTCTGATTAATTATATAGACTATTTCATTACACTTCACAGATTTCAATTACTTCATTCTTAAATGTGTATACTCTGATTCTCAGTCATTCTCAATTATCAATTCTCAGCTGCTATGAATATATACACTTCAATTCTCAGTCATTCTCAATCACTGATTCTCAGTTATTATAAATACATATAGATTCTTCCACTCTAAAGCTTCACTGTGTACATTATTACATACATATATAAATATTCACTTTAATTACTGATTCTCATACTTTCTCTTTCTTTTCCTTCTTTAACATTTTTCTCTTTGTTATATAAGATCTATCAATATAATACTGATCTATTCAGCGTAAGCCTCTTACATTACATTACAATTGAGATATTTCATTTCTTTAAATAGAATAAATAGTTAATAAATAGCAGTGATTATACTGAGTAATAGATAACTAGCTTAATAGTATTGATTTTACTGATAGAACATTATACAGTGCCTTGTAATATCTTAGTAGTATTCTGATAATGATATCTGTTAATTACACAGTCACTGAGTAGTGTTATGATAATATTAGAAAGTTCTGTACTGTCTTAACATCATCTTGACATTTAATATTCAGTGACATGTCACTGAATATAATGATGGAACATGTGTTACAATCGGCGACACGTGACACGGGTGGAATGGTGGATCCACGGTGTAATCACCGTAAATTAACCCTACGTTCTTCCCATATGGTAACCGCCAACCGAGCACGTGATTCATGTATTGCCCGGGTTAAAACTGAGCTTTTAATAGCAATTTCTGTACACGTTTCACTCAGTTCTGTAAGATCTAGCTTTAAAGAATGGGGATAGATATCTGAGTCATAAAACCACTATAATTGTAATAATCATGGGTTAGGTACAGCTAGTAGCACTTCATTTATTGTTTGAAAAGATGATTACTTAGCAATCTCTCCTCGTTGATGAGCGGATTGCCTAAAGCATCTCTTCCCCAAATTTCCCAGAACGCGGATATCTTACCCACCCATCTCAAGCCATTTATCATAATCGGGCCCTCTGTATCGGATGAATAGCAGGCCTCGGTTGTCGGCGGCGACGGGATAGGAATGTCAGAGGTAGTCAGAGAGTTTCAGTGGTGGTCGAAAGAGTGGCTTCTCAATGATCTTTACTATAACGGAGAACTTTGTTGCAGGCGATTCTGAGAGCACTATCTTGGCAGTTTCAAGCATATCATCGTACTTTTCACTAAAACCAACTTCAAGGACGAGGAACGGTCGCGGCGAGGCAGAACTAATGGCAAGATCAGGAACGAGGCGGATAGTATCGCTATCATCAGCACCGATATAGAATGTTGAATTTGAGTCTATTACAAACGGCATTGTAACATTTCTCGAGAAAAAGTAATTCATGAGCCCCTTTCTTGTTGTTTCAATAAGCCTCTCATGAATTGGAGTTGGTATGTGTAATATCGAGGTCACTGACAGTCCTCGGTTGAAACGAAGGCGTTTAATTTTGCCTTTTGTCACATCTAATCCAGCTCAATGTCAGCATGAGAAGAGATAAACAGGAAAGAAATTCTAGAAGACATACTCTGAGCTGTTGAATTTGTCTGATAATAGCAAATACTCTTGTCGCGTAGACTTTAAACGAATGGCTTCCCGTGCAAAATCAGTGGGATATACACCAGCATAAACTTGCTTAAAGTTGATCTTCACTAAGGGAAGAAAACTCCTCATCACCACCAATATCGCGGCAGAAACCACGAAGCGATGAGTGGATCGGCCTTGGACGAATGCGATGGGCATCAGCAAGCTTGAACTCACGCGTACAGGGGAGAAGACTTGTTAGAAGTCTTTGAGTGCTCAAAACGCGTGTTGAAAGCATTCTGAGGTATCTATAAGCAAAAGGTCACTCTACTTTGTAGCTGTGGTCTTGAAAATGCTAGTTTCGAGAAGAAAGGCTGAACTAGCAGATGACAAACATGACATATAATAGAGAGTTACTTCAGGTAAAAGTAAGGCCAGTGTATACGGCCTACTAGCAAATGGACAAATAATGGCCTGAAACTGTGGATGGGATGGATGAGGGTTCACGTGATGATGATGACGTAACCTATCTCGGATTGTCAACGCAGGGGCCACTGTTTTTGTCAATTGGTCCAAAAAAGAAAAAATAAAAATAAAAAATTACTCTTACATGAAGATTCTTCCGGTCGCCATGGCGAGAAGAGCGACCAAAGAGAAGTTTCACCATTGATCGTGGGTGCGGTCTCGTGGACGCGAACATCTTCGATGCTAACACTCGGGCGAGGTCATTGTTATTCGGCCGTTCTCAGTCTCTCTTGGTGATAGGAAGTCCGACACCGTGTGAGAGGAGAGGGACTCCTCTCAGCAAAGCCTAGAAAGCGTGTTTCAATGCGAGCTAGCTTACATGAGGATTGTAAATCGGCTTGCAGAGTCCGACGCGATTGATGAACAAATGTTAGCCTCGGGGCTGTTGAAGTACAGCTCCCTGCTTTGTTGGAGAATTTAGAGTTGAGAGAAGATGTGCAGCTGTTGTTAAGATGCTGACGGCAATCGGCTGTAGACTTGTTTTACGAAAGGGAAGTGGCATAACTTACTTCTGCAAAAAACTCCCACCATACCCCAAAATATCGACAGCCGAGTTTATAAACGGGGGAGTTTCCAGATAGTACAGACGTTCAATGTCTTACGCCTAAAGGGCATCGTAATGCTCAAGGCCAAGCGAAGGCATGACGGTCAGCTAATTGCTTGCCCCTGGAATAGGAAAAGGGGGAAGGTTCTCCATATCAGCAGCGGCAATAATGGCTCGATGCATTATCAAGAATACTCAAATCAAAGACAAAGTCACACAGCTCGTAGATATTCACTATAGAGGGCTGTCATTGGAAACTACATATCAGATTCTTCGCTAATGATAAAGGAAATTTTGATTCTCGTGATGTTGAGATTACCACAACTACATCAACTTTGCCTACGTAAGTGGTTCTAACCTTCGTCTTATCTGCCTCTCCAAAGTTCTTTCTGCGCGTCGGTGTATAAGTAAGTGTACATACATATTCGAAACCTCCCCGCAATGATTAACGGTAGGATCCATTGCCTCTGGCGCCACCGCCTAGTACAGCCTCCAAGATCATGTCCTTAGCTGGTTCCAGACTAGCCCTTGGTCCCTTGATCTCAATAGCCTCGCCTTGCGCCTGGTTCTTTGGCACGTTGATCCTACAGCTCGTTTGTTTGCGAATCTCGTTGATTGTGCTGCCACCGGGTCCGATAACCAATCGATAAGTTTTAGGGTCTGGAAGGATCAAATATCCAGTGGCAGAGTGTTGCGGTGCTGTCTGGAGAGACATTTCGACAATTGATTTTGCCTTTGCGACATTGTCTGGAGTGCCTGAAAAAACCCAGGGAATGGCCTTCGGCAAATTCGACTGGGCTGATTCGCCAGGGTCCACGTCCACTATTTTCCAGGAATGCGTGGCAGCGGTGGTGTGAGGATCATCTGTAATCAAGGGGAGAGAACCGTTCTGACCATTAATTCCGTTGCGAGAGTCGACAGGAGAAGGACGTGGCGGGACTTGATGCCCAGCATGGTCAACGCTCACTTGATATTCGTTTCGGAGCCGGCGAAACAAGAGGCCATTGTCAGCAATCGCATGATGCAAATTAATTGGCACCAGGATGCTGTCGGCATGCTGCTCTTTGATAAGAGATTGGATGTGAGCTTTCGCCTGGTGAACTGCATCACTTGATCCTCTGATCTTAATGTCAGTGCGGCCAGACCCTTGTTTTGGTATGTCAAGAGTGATCTTAAACTGGCTCTCTATGTTCCGTCTAGTTTCTCCACCCCGACCAATTAAAAATCTATGTTGTGCTTGGGGAACATCAATAGATGTTACGATCTGGTCGTTCTTCTCTCGAACGAAATCTTCGATTGCTGCAACGATTCTTTCTATAACTGCGGAGTTTCCTTCCAGACGAATAACGGACTCGTCACTACCCGGGGGGGGAAATTTCACCATCCGGGCTGCACTCCCATCGCTCGGCCCACCAGCATCACTTACAATCTTCCGAATAGTCGCACCTGTTGAAAGTTAGCTAATAATGACTTTTCGAGAGAAACACAGGTTGGGTACTAACCGCCACCACCGATCAACGCCTTGTGGTGCTTCTTGTCTACATCGATGGTTTTGACAACAGTTGAATCGAACTCTTGCGCTCGCTGAAGCAATAACTTCTTCGCGTCTGCAACTTGTTTTTTCGTCCCTTTGAGATTAATAGTCACCCTCCCAGCCGCATCTGAAGGGTCGTTGGCACTAGGGACATCGATCTGAGCGCCGGTATCTGCCCGCAGTCTATCCATTTCACGGCCTCGTTGGCCGATTAACATAGGAATTTGGCTCTGTGAGACGGACACGGAATCCACGTGAGAGTGGTCCACGACCCACTGGTAGAGGCTAAGAATTTCCTCCCGAGCCCCTTCTGCACCCTTACGAGGGCCACGAACGACAATCTCGTCAGTGGCCTGGGTAGGACGAACGTTTCGGTTCGCCCCCATTTCGCTTGTGGTGTCGGCAACGGATTGGTCGTCGTTTGTGGGAAGATTGGAGACTCGAGGGAACTGGACTCGAACATTATACCGGTCTTGAAGGCGGTTAACCTGACTGCCCTTTTGTCCGATCAAATCGCGATGATACTGCTGAGGGATCTTCAACACGAAGGTAGTCTCATCCTCTAACTTTTTTCCCAGTGCAATAATCCGGGCTCTACACCCATCCGCCTTGATTTTCGGGCCTTTGACCTCGACTTTGCCATTTTCCACCTTGATGTCAACGTCGAATTCCTCTCGGAGATTATTGATATTTTCGCCCCTTTTACCAATAAGGAAATTTGCATACTTTTGTGGGAAATCGAAGGAGGTAGTGTAACCCCTCTCTAAATCGTCCTTTTGTTGCTCTAAAACGAAACCTTCGACTTTAAAGGCGAGTTCTTCGACATCGGAAGTACGGCCACGAAGTTGTATCTGTTCTCCGGCCGCACTAACGCGGATAGGGATGTACTCCTCTCCTTTGGCTTGTTGTTCTCGGTTAATGAATTTGCGGAGTTTATCGTGATACCTAGTTGATAGATGAGTAAGACTATGCAAATCTAAGGATCCATTAAAGAGAAGTGAAATGGGAAAATGTATTGCGCGCGTAATATGGAGGAAAAACATACTTCAGTGGAACCATGACTATTTTAGTGCAGATGTTGTGTTGATCCCCCAAAGACATCAAAAGATGGTTCTTTGCCTCCGCTAATGCCTTGTCAAATACCTCCAGTTCATTAGGCAACGGACGACGTTTCGGGAGGTCGTCTACTCCTGCGACCCATGTCTCTCCTTCGTATACGAGTACAACATTGGTACTATCTGGGTCATCTGGTAGAACTAAGTGTACACCAAAATTATCCTTCAGTTGGGGCCCAATGCGGGTGCGAAGATAGGAGTGGAAGAAAGGGTCAATGGGTAATGGCGCAAGTTTAGATGGAGGATGCGCCTGGATCAGGTTGGCAATATCGGATCGTGCTCGGATGGTGTTTTTCCCGTCTCTCGAGTAGACTTCCCAGGTAACAGGGCCATCTGACGACGAGGGGAGAACAATGTGGGCATCATATAGCCTCTCTAGCTCCTTAATAGCTTGTCGCTGCTTTAAGTAGGAAGTAAGAGCTCGAGCGTGGACATGGGCGCCAACGGGCGCTGTTGGGTGCTGCCTAGATACATCAATACTGGCCATTTGCATGCTAGTGGCCAGGTCCATGGCACGATTAATTCCGAATTCGATTTGGTCAGGGGGCCCTGTGATAGTCAAAAACTCTGTATCGTCACTTGCGGGTGGTAGCACTATCGAGCAGCCCGTCTGGGCTAAGAATTCGTGCAATGAATCGTTGACGCCGCCCAAAATAAACTGATGCTGTCCTCGATTGATTGCCAGCTGTCGTACGGTGATTTGTCGCTGTAATTCATCGGCACGTCTCTCAATTTCGGCGCGGGCTTCTTGTGCGGCACTCCGCTCGCCAGAAATTTGAATGTACTTGTCAGGATCAGGGGAAAATTTAATTTGGCCTTGGGCCGCCTCAGAGGGAGGGGGGCGTGACCATGTGTCATAGTGCGGAATTCGAATCTGTGCCTTCGTACGCTCTTCAAGTTGCTGCAAATGTATATTGTGGGCGCCGGCAATGAAAGGGAAAAGTTCAGGTGCAATGCTTTTTAGGCGCAGGTTGATATTAAACGACCGTTCCTTCACGATCGTCTCTATTTCCCTTCTTGCCATTTCTGCGGCCACAGCATCCCCTTCAATGCGAACATCTATTGTAACACTATCATCATCGTCGGCAAGTGACGGCCCTTCTGGCCTGGGGACATTAATTCGAGCACCGGTTCGGTCATGAATTCCCTGCACAACCACTCCTTGCCGGCCAATGATATGAGGTCTAGCTGACGCCGGAATTGGCACGAGCACGGATTGCTTTTATGAGCAGGATTTTTTTTTCCCCTTGTGGTCAGCTGGGGGACACATAACGCGGGGCATGGAAAGGGGTATTTTAGAAATCCACATACCTTGGAACCAACCTGTTGGGCCACTTCCTTGAGTGCCTGGCGAACAGCGTCCACGGATCCCTTGCCTTCGAAAATGATGGATTCCCCAGGGCCGTTATACATGTCCACAACGGCCTTGAATCTCCTACTAGTATCGCGAAGGATATCCCTTATAGGTTTCTTCAACTGGCTCCGTGGGAGCATCTGCGAAGGAGCGAAACGAATTCTCTCGACATGCTTGCCTGGCATGGTCATAATCTTTGGGCCTCCCAGAGCGCCACCACTCGATGTGGCCGTCATGGAATTAGATGTGACCAAACCGGGAGCTGGTGTTGGCGTACGTGAGGAAGCGTTACTCGAAAACTGCGATGGCGGATGCCCCCAGTTCGACGAGCCGTTGGCAGTAGGTGGATTTCGACCTGCTGATTTCCTCGCACCCCATGCCATTGGAACAGCTGTAGCGGTGCGGGAATTTGGCGCTCCACCCAATGCAGGAAACAACTCCTCAGACTGCACATCAAAAGTCGGAGCCTTTTGGGTAGCGGAGTTGGCGGTGGTAACAGAGGAAACCGAGTCCATAGACGGCTTCTCGACAGCCGCAGAAGTCTTAGGGACACTTGGGCTGGGTTCCAAGGACTCTACAGGGGCTTGCGTAGCGGGACCAGACGGCGACGGATGCTGGATATCATACTCATCGGGTACATCTTCCACAGTGACCTTGTGAGAGTCGTCACGGGTGTGTTGTTCTTTAAGGAGGGCGGCTGGCGACTTGGAGCTCACCGTGGTGGTTCCATTGGCGGTGGGTTCGAGCATGTGGGCACTCATACTGGATTGACAGGGAGAGATTCGAAACGAGTAAGGCTCAAACTATAGACTTATGCGGTTCACCAAAAAAAAAAAAAAAAAAAAAAGAGAAACTGTTGATTGCTATTAATGCATGCAATCACCACTTGCTGGGCCAGAAACAATAAAAGATGCGGTAAAAGAGGGGAAAAAAAAAGAAGAAAAGAAAGAAGAAAAGAGGAAGCTTGGATTTCAAGCTGGGGAATGTTTGTAGGGACACATACTGTAAGGCAGGTCGATATAACCAATTCCAAAGCAGAAACAAGCAATATGTACTGAATTGAAGTAGCTAAAATGAAATTGAAGAGAGGTAAATGGACCGCGGAGTCGGGAGAGCACGAGAGAGACGGAAGGAGGAGGGAGGGAAAAGCGAATTGATCACTCCATCACGGACACCAAAAACGGATCCAAACTGGCGGGTAACGATGAGAGGCTAGAAGATAGCGAATGCTGTTCGAAGTGAATTGGGGAATAGGACGTCGACGTGCAATTGAGCGGCTTTCCTCGCTTCTTTGCTTGTTTTTCGAAGATGTTGGTTTGAGGTTCGGATGTCGAGGTTTCGAAGAAGTTCGTCGTTCAACCTTTGGACTTGGAGGCAACGTTGCAGTTCGCAAAGAGCTAGCCGCATTGGGCATTAGACTTATCTATAACGTTATAGTGACCCATTAATTACTTAGTTACTTATTAGTTATTACTGCGTATGTACGCAGTATTATTATGTATTATGTACTCCGTACGGACTTTGAAGCTGGAAATAGATACCGATGTTCATAGCGCCCTTTAACAATAATACCCTTTATTACTGGAAGTTCTTCTGATCGCATGCAACAGTTTAAGAGGTTATCTATTGGATGGATACAAATATCCACACTTCCATGGGAAGTATCTCGTTCAGCAGAGATCTTTCTTCTCACTACGGAGTAGTTAGTTACTCCGTACAGCGTATTTAATAACTAATAAGATGAATCAGTCAATTACACAGGTATTGACTGACTGTAGAGACCGAGAGAGACCAGACCCTCTTCTGGCAACACAAATCATCTATTATTATTATTATTATTGCGAGTGCTGGAAGAAACAAAGGACTAACTACTTGTACTGATCCACGAATCTGAAGTAGCCAACCCCAATTCGTGACTAAATTTAATGTTGCCCTTGGTACGGTACGTACTCCGTAGTTATATTTAAGTTAACCAGTTTAACTTTTCTACTAACTTCCTATGTTTAATTGTCGAAGACTTTATTTTTCAGCATAACTTAACTTTAATAGTAGTAACTACTCATTAACGTCTAGTTAAGGCCTGGCAAGCCCTGGCAAATCTGGACAAACCGACAGCCAGTGTGGTGCAGTGGAAGAGCGGTTCAATTAATCTTCTCATGGCTTCATTTTCGTATGGTTACTGTATATGTACATGTACATGTACTTGTAGTTACTGCACATTATTGTACATCGTGGTTAGTGTAGTCCAAGTCCTGCGTGTGGCAAAAAACTTTGGTGCCATTATCTTTTATTAATCTTTTTGTCTTTTTTTTTATCTTTTAATATAAGATTACAGATTAAAAAAACCTTGGTTGCGCCCAAGCGCCAGGACCTTTCTCGATCAACCCTTTGGAGGCTCAAATTATGCTGCTGACAGTAATTTCCCTGGCCACCACGACGCATTTGATACTCATGTACGGAGTATAGCCAGCAAAAACACGCAAGATAGGATAGATATGACACGATGGGTTCAAGCCGAAGAGATCAAAACGCCTGTGCAGGGTAGGGTAGGTAGGCTCTTGTACTCCGTATGATGAAGCTGTTGGTCGTCATAGTACCGAATACAGGGCAGTGAAATTTGGCGTGGTTTCCATCCCATCTCTTTATAATAATTATAAAACACACCACGCACATTGCAGTGTTAAACTAACCTAACACAAATACTCATCATCGCGCTCTCGGGCCTCCCCGGAGCTATTTATGAGATGAAACCACATACTTACACACTCACACAGCTGACAATGGCCTAAGGTAGCAAAGGAAACATGTAGAGTAAGTAGCATCCAGCAGAAAGGCGAAGCAGAATAGCTTCTTTTTTGTTGAACATCCGTCACGTCACGCCTCGCCGGTCAAAGATGGATCCCTCCATGGATAGTAATAAGTAGTTTAACTAACTTATTAAGTTAACCATGCGATCGATCTGTAATAATAATAATAATAAGAATAAGAATGTAAACAAAGCGTCTGTGGTTACCCGCGGGGAATAATAATAATAATGTTTTATGGCCACGCGTACGGTATTACCCGCTATTCGAGTCTCGCTCAGGGCGCGCGACACACGCCTATAACGAGGAAGGTACTGTACTGTATGTGTACAATACATACATGTACTGTACTTATGTGGTACCGTACCGTACCACCACCATTTGTCGGGAAGATTCTACTTGCATTATACATTATAACTGTTTTCGTATTGTATGATATTGTATAGGACTGTACTGTATTGGACTATACTTGTTTGGTATTGTACATGTACTGTACATGTACACATACACACATAACACACATACATGTACGGTACCAAGTATATCGCAGCAAACCAAACCATCCCCTTCCCTCCGCTACTCATTATTATTATTCCTCACAACCAACCATTCAACGAAACAAATCTCTTCTTCTTCTTCTTCCCCCCGTCGCATTCGCTGCGCAACTCCAGCACAGCACAGCAACGCTCAAGCCTGCGTTTCCAATTCCACTGCAGCGTATCGTATCGCTTTCGTTCCCTATTTACCTATTTACCTATTTACCTATTATTATTATTATTATTTACATACTCATCCTTCTTTCTCCTATTCCCCTGGTATCTCTTTCACCAATCCCACCCCACGCCTTGCTTTTTTTTTTTTTTTTTTTTTTTTTTTTCACCAGAGTCTTTTAACTAAAAGTTTTAATTACCCCAGGGTAGGGTAGGGTAGGGTGCAGAGAGAGAGAGGTTGGCTCCCTCCCACGAAAACGAACAGCTATTAGGTTGTTGCCAGTCAAGCCAGTTTCCCTCTCTATCCTATCGTGGTGGTGGCTTGCGATCTAAAACTATTTCCTCTCCCTCTCTTTCTCTCTGCTTCTCTCTTCCCTCGATCGATCCCATCTCGTAACCCCCTTCAGTTGCTGCTTGTTGCCGCCACACACTACACTCCTCCCAATCCCTTCTTCGTACTTTCTTACCGTCTTTCGTCTTTTCGCTCTCTGCCAATTGCTACTCTCGGTGATTTTGTCTCTTCGCCCTCTTCTGCCTGCTATTCTCTCGCGGCGGCTTCAGTCGTCGTGGTCTGGTTGTTGGTCCTGTTCGTTGTCATTACATTACTGTCGCTGCTGTCGTGGCCGCGGTCGGGCGCTTTCGATCCTTGATCCCAGGGATAACTATGGACCAAGCAAACCCCCCTCCTCTCAAACAACGACGTCCTTCCACCAAACTTCACAAACATCCCCATCAACTATCTTCCAGTTCCTGGTCTCTTAAGAAACAACCAAGCGCCACATCTCTTCGACGACACCCTTCTGCCCCAGTCTATCCCCGCTCCCACGCTGGTTCTAGCCGTGAACACCTCCGAACCAAATCCAACGACGCCTTCGGTTCCTCCTCCTCTTCTCTCGATCAGCACAGCGCTCACCAATCACCAGTCCTCACCACAGCTCCTACAAACGACTTTGGCCCGTCTTTGTCCAACACCTCTATCCATCCCCGCCCTCAATATCCCCATCGTCTTTCCTTTACCGATCGAAGTTCCGATGATTTCATAGGAAGCGCTTTCGACGCGCGGACTATGCTCAACGCCCTAGATTCATCCAGCCCAGGCGACGAACCCCAGTCTAGCCGTCGTCCACCTCTCCTCCCCTCTTACAACACTAGCCCTGGCCCCGGATCCTCAAAGCCCTCCCTGAGAGAGTCTGCCAGCTTCACATCCGCCCCACAACCCATGGATCCCTCCCCTACCCCTCCCGCTGAAGATGGCGCGAACATTTCATCGTCAAAGCGATATTCTGATGAGAGCGGAGGTGGTGGCGGCGGCGGTGGCAGGCTAGGTTTGAGTAGACGTAAAACGGGGTTCTCCAACTTCATGAACAGCATGCTAGGCTCTCCTCGAAACATCAAAATCTCAGCGCCCGAAAATCCTGTTCATGTCACCCATGTTGGATATGATAATGAAACAGGTCAATTTACGGTATCTTCTTCACACTTCTTCTTTTACTGCTCCTATGCAATTTTCTTTTTTTTTTTTTTTTTTTTGTTCCCCTCCGTTTCTGTTTTTCGATTAGGACTATAAAGGCTTCAGTGTCGGTTGATATTATGTAGTCTTGTTATCAAAGTTATTGAACTAACAAGCTCTTTTGGTTTGCCGTTAGGGTTTGCCCAAAGACTGGCAACGTATGCTGCAGGAGAGCGGTATTTCGAGGAAGGAACAAGAACAGCATCCACAAACCATGGTAGATATCATGAAATTTTACGAGAAAACCGCTGGTGGCCGGGATGAAGACGAGGTCTGGCACAAGTTTGACCATGCAGTGGCCCACGAGCATAATGACACTGGTCCTGCTTCAAAAGGGTCCCCCGGCGCTCTGGGCCCCAGCTCCTATACTACACCACTACACCCCATAAACTCGCCCCCCACCAGTCCAAGATTCCCTCAGAACCATGAGGGGAGCTTTGAAAATCCCAGAGCACCACCACCAATCCCGCGCTCCTCATCTGGCGCCAACCCCCTCTCCCCCAACAAAAGTCCATCCCTGTCTAGTAGAGTGCCAAACCGTGCCGCTCCCAAACCCCCAGTTTTACCAACTAATAACTTGGTTCCTGTTCGACCTGCCCCCCCACCCCCTATTTCAAAGGAAAGCGTCAATGGGTCAAATCGGCCGGTGCAGGAGTTACCTACGCATTCATTTACGACACGACCAGCCCCAGAATCTAGCCAATTGCCCCTAGAAACCCGCCCCAGTCGATCTAATTCGAATGCCAATGAGGCAAGCCTTGGAAGAAACGTCCCGGCACAAGTTACGTCTCCCGCTCAATATCAGCAGCTTCAGGAACAAGCCATTACTGCCGCTCAACATGCCATTTCCAATAAACAGCTGGAGCGTTCAAGAAGCCAACGCCAACAGCAAGGACCACAATCCCAATCGCAGCCACCGCGCATGCATCGGCAACATGTCCCTCCTCCTATTCAACAACAGCACCAACCATCAACCGGTTTAACAAATCCGTCGTCGTCGAGGCCTGAACACCAGCAGTTCACACCCCCAACACCTCAACAACACTTTCCCCAAAAGGCACCAGCAATACAGCAGACACCGCACCAGCAACAGCAGGGTCACCTTGGTCCATCTCCCCGACCGCGTCAGCGAACCCGTCAGAACAATGGGTTTGATATCAAGGCCCGGCTCAACGCGATATGCTCTAGTGGTGATCCGACCCGTAAGTATAGGAATTTGAATAAAATTGGACAGGGTGCGTCCGGTGGCGTCTACACCGCTTATGAGAACGGGACCAACAAATGTGTGGCGATCAAACAAATGAACCTTGAACTTCAACCAAAGAAAGATCTTATCATCAATGAGATTCTGGTGATGAAAGACAGCAAGCACAAAAACATCGTCAATTTTATGGACAGCTTTTTACATGGAGGCGACCTCTGGGTCATAATGGAATATATGGAGGGAGGGAGTTTGACCGATGTTGTTACCTTCAACATTATGACAGAAGGCCAGATTGCGGCAGTGTGTAGAGAGGTATGGCCCGGATACATCATTCCCCCTCCCCCCCCCCCCCCCCGGCCCGTGGCGGGCAGAACGCCAAATAGCGGTACTAATTAAAGTAGACTCTCAACGGCCTACAACACCTCCATTCGAAAGGTGTTATCCATCGAGATATTAAATCTGATAATATCCTTCTCTCCCTGGATGGCAACATCAAACTCAGTAAGTCTTCAATTACCTAGACCTTATTATTTACTATTGCTGACAAATAACTAGCCGACTTTGGGTTTTGTGCTCAAATCAACGACTCGCAGAACAAGCGCAACACCATGGTTGGAACTCCGTATTGGATGGCCCCTGAAGTTGTCACACGCAAGGAATACGGGCGTAAAGTCGATATCTGGAGCTTGGGTATTATGGCGATTGAGATGATAGAAGGAGAGCCTCCTTATCTCACCGAATCACCGCTGCGTGCTCTCTATCTTATCGCCACAAATGGAACCCCAACTATTAAAGATGAGCAAAACCTGTCACCAGTTTTCCGAGAATTTTTGCATTTCGCGTTGAGGGTTGATCCGGAGAAAAGAGCTTCTGCGCATGACTTGCTCAAGGTGGGCGATTTTCCCATAGACGGCTCTGGTGCCATATTCGCCGAATATTCGTCAATTGCTAACTCAACTCGCGTAGCACAACTTCATGTCCTTGTGCGAGCCGCTTCCTAGCCTCGCGCCATTAGTTAGAGCTGCCCGAATCAGCAGGGCCCAGGAGAAGGCCCAGAAAGGCGGTGGCTAGTTCTTAAGACCCTTGTGAACAATCCAACCTTACACCAGATGGAAAATAACCACACTCAACATCTTCCTCTTCCACTCCTTAACTCCGATACCCATGCCTTCTTTATTACTACTTTATTATTTTCCATCTCTGATCTATATGTCATCATCTTATGCCTTTCTATTTTACGCCCCCAGGTCCTGCTCATGATTTTAGATGGCCCAATTTCTGCATGGAATATCCACGTTAATCTTTTGCTTGTCGACATTCTGTGTTGTTTCGCTGCACAATTATCTGCGGTCTACCCCAAATATAGAACGCGCTGATCTAAAACTTTGACTCTTACGTGTTTCGCTTACATGTCGTCTCCACACTTGTCTGCCCATTTGCACCAAATGTGGGCCACAGCTTGAATGTAATTTACTGACGAACGATGATATGCCAGAGTATGGGGGTGGATGAAGGTGTGTCCCCTACTTGTATTCCGACCAGATAAACATATCCTTTTCTCACTTTCGGTCGTTGCTGTCTATTTTTATGGTCACTCCCCACACCCACCCCTGAGAAATCTACAACTTCTTTCTCACCTTTCTTTCTTATCTCGAATCCTTTGATTATGAACATAACGTGGGCTTTATGGCGTCTAGTTTTAATTGTCAACTACAATAAAAAAACAAAAAAGGGATTCATTTGACTGTTCCAGCTTATCGAGAAGATGCAGATACCTATCTATATCGCCTTCTCTATCAACCTCCCGCTTTGAACCCTTACTCCTTCAACCCACTCAGGGATGCATCTAATTGCAGTCTTCATACTTTTATTCCATCCCACCTAACACCAGGAGCATAGACTAAATATATTTTGGTGTGCTCATGCCTGAAACATTTCGTACATGCATTGGTTATCCTTAATAGATCCTTCATAAGACGTTTCTTATATTTGAGTTGTTTTCCAGGATCTTATTGCACCTGTCTATAACAGCCTCATTCACAATATATTCCATAGCGGCGTTCTCCATTTATCGACAGTAGTATTGATTCTTCATGATTTGCCGCTCATTCCCAATAATGAGAGTAATATTGTGGACGGGTATTTTGGTTAGAGACACAGTTGAACATCCATAGTTTTTTTTTATCAATTCATCATAACTACATATTTTCACTAGACCTATGTCTCTGCTGATGCGATGCAGTCCCAACTCCATCATTATTAGATCTCATGATGATAATAGGATCTGTATATGCGCATGTGAATGAAAGTTAGCTTGAATGGGGCAAGAAAAGTTGATCATGCTCTCGAAAAAAACGGCATGTTCATCTATAAGTTAGATCTAACTGTAACTAACTTTGACGGTTAGGTTATGTAATCATATTAAACAGTCGCAACAACATTTCCTCAACTACAAGTTCCTCTTGGAACACACTACCTTGCGAACATCACCGCGTGAATCCCGCACAGCCTGTCCACTGAACTCCGCTGTTCCCCACCCTGCCATTTCCCCAGCCGTTTCCAGCCCGGATCTTTCCCAGACATCCAAGTGGGCCACACTCTTGAAAAACTTGGTTGCCTGCCTGCAAACCGCATCGTCTTAAGCTTTCATTCAGCCGGTCATCTTTGGTTTCGCCTTCAAGTACGATCTTGTACGCTCCATACTCCTTTCATCGACTAGGACAGCTTGAATACATCTCATCAGCGGCTCACTTAACCACCCCATCTTCCTTGAGGCTCCCCCGCCTTGGTGGTTCAACTGCGGGATCAAATCATGTTCCGCGCACAGCAAAATGCATTTGACGATGCCGTTGGTGAGTGTTGTTCCGAGTTTATAGTTCCTAAACATGGTGATACATATACTAATCAACTTCCCATAGCCAAGGCGACGGATGAGAACTTGACATCGGAAAATTGGGAATTTATTCTTGTACGCTAACTCTCGGAACAATTGCGTCGATTTTCGTAGACTATCTTGTTGCTGATCAATCGATGGTGTAAAGGATGTTTGTGATAAGGTTGGCAGTGAGGATACGGGGTATGACTCTGGAACCTCTGCATGAAGCCAGTATCACTGGCGTTATTATAGAGACTAACTGTACTCGGCCGGACTCACAGCGCGAAAGATGCGGTTGCTGCAATGATAAAGCGACTTGCGCATCGGAATGCTAACGTGCAACTTTATACCTTGGAAGTGCGTTGGCAGTTTGTGATTATTCATGAGAGGTGTTTGTGTTCATTGCTAATGAAGAGCAGCTTGCTAATGCCCTTTCGCAAAATTGCGGGGTGAACATGCACCGTGAGCTGGCTTCGAGAAGTTTTACGGATTCCCTTCTACGCCTCGCAAACGATCGGGTATGTTAACTGACGTTTTACATTTCACACACCTCTGCCATCTCCGCCGAGGCCTTTTGCTGATTGATCCACGTCCGATAGAACACACACCAACAAGTGAAGGCGAAGATACTAGAGCGGATGGAAGAATGGACAGAGATGTTTTCTAGCAATCCTGACTTCGGTATTATGGAGCAGGCTTATATGAAACTCAAGTCGCAGAGTGAGTAGACGGCTGTCTTGTACCGACTTTGTTCGAGTTCTCTGTTCGTTACTGTTTCTTGTTTAACAGGTTATTTATTTAACAGATCCAAATCTTCAACCACCATCGAAACCAACGAAGCGGCAAATTACCGATTTTGACCGGCAGAAGGAGGAAGAGGAACTTCAGATGGCGCTCGCATTGTCTATTAAGGATAAATCTTCTTCTTCTTCAACCCATAACAACACCGCTGCACAGCGTACGACCAGTCAGGATAGCCAGGGCCAGCCTGCACCGTCCCAGCTTCTTCCATCAGGTACTACCGCAGCCACCGTTTCTCGGGTTCGAGCCCTATATGACTTTCAACCATCTGAGCCCGGAGAACTCCAGTTCCGCAAGGGTGATGTTATTGCGGTGCTCGAATCTGTTTACAAAGATTGGTGGAAAGGTTCTCTGCGGGGCCAAACCGGAATCTTCCCCCTTAACTATGTTGAGAAACTATCAGATCCCACCCAAGAGGAGCTCCAAAGAGAAGCTCAAATGGAGGCTGAAGTTTTCGCCGAAATAAAAAATGTAGAGAAACTTTTGACGCTTTTGAGCACCAGTAGTTCAGAATTGAACGTCCAGGAGAACGACGAAATCACAACTCTATATCATTCTACGCTTGCCATACGCCCAAAACTTATTGAATTGATTGGAAAGTACTCACAGAAGAAAGGTGAGTATTTAGATTTGGGCTGTTTTCTCAACACTATTTGCTAACCATCTTGAAGACGACTTTACCCAACTTAATGAAAAGTTCATCAAAGCTCGAAGAGACTACGAATCCCTTCTAGAGGCCTCGATGGCCCATCCATCACAGCCGCATTACGGACGGCCGCCACAGTCTGCATACAGCTATCCAGTGCAAAGTGCATCCCCTGGATACCCTCAGGGGGTTCAACAGGACGAAGCCCATCATTACTATGCCGCTCACCCACAAGGTATGAAATTTTGCACCTATCTGCGCTTTCGTGGCTTCTGTATCATTTCCTTCCCCCTTGATTTGGCTATCTTTATTAGGGTTCTCCTTTTGAAAGTACTTCCGCTGCTCACAAATACATAGACGGCCCAAAACCTTTCCAATCTAGCCAAACTCCGTTCTACAGCTCCGAGCAAGTTCCGCTCCCCTACCCGAACAATGTGCAGACTCCTGATACCAGACAACGAACACCCAGCGGCACACGCCCCTTGCAACAATCTCAGCAGCAACCCCCCTCTGACACGTACGGAGCAAATGGTCTTGTTCATAACCACGCTCAGAATTCCTCCGACCACCCCCAGGAGCTTGGAACATCAGTATATGACTCCCCGCAAGACAGCGTCCCGCCAAATATTCGACATTCTTACCACTCGCCAAGCCATCAACCAAGCCACCAGGTTCAACCACAGCCGGCTGACTTTTCTTCTCTTCCATACTCGCCTGTGGGTAACCCCCAGTCACAAACTCCATCTCTAAATCAACCTTATACTGCACAATCACACCCACCTCAACATATTCAACAGCATCAACAGCTCGCTACGTCAGCTCCTAGCCAACCTCACCAAGCACCTCCATCTGTCCCATCCAGTAGTCCAGGTCAGCCTCCGTACCCTACAGCCCCTGCTGCAGCGCGGCCAGGACCAGGCAGTGGGAGTTACCAGTCCTATCATCCACCAAGCGGCCCACAAGCAACTTCTTCAAACGTAAACCTAAACCCAAGTTCCTTCTATCGGTAAATATGTGTTCTTCATTTGCCAAAGATTCCAACCCATGTCCCAATGGGAAATTGGGCAGATAGCAAACCTTTTCTACTATCCTCCGCCCCTAGGATTTCGGCGATCTTGGTTGGAGGATGCACGCAGGCGTTTACGGAATTTCCTCCAGTTAGTATTCATTTGCCTCTTTGTAAACAGTTCACAGGTCAATCCAATTTTGCGGACATTGCTTTTATGTTGTTTTTCTCCTAGTTGACTAAAACTTTCTTGTTTGTTCTGGTATAAGAGAATGAAAGTCTATGCTTTATAGTCCTAGTAATATTCTCGCTGCCTCCGTCTTTTTCAATTTCCGTATCATCTACTAGATGTATACCCTGCATACCGGCTTTTGCGGTGTCACTGGGTTCCTGTCAGTTCGCGTGTGATTATACCTCACGATTCCTACATATATTTATGAGCCTGTAGCTTCCTCCCCCAAGCCATGTCGACTTGGGTTGATACGTATTGATTGTTATAATAGCTAATCTAAATCACTTTTGGAAGTCCACTGCTAAAGCGGGCTTGAATTAAATTATTTACTCTAGCATTGAATGAAACTGGTTTCGGAATGCCACGCTCGGCTCATTGGGCACACCGGGGCGGGGAGCTGCTGGAGTCACGTGTCATTGTGTTCTCCCAGCGAGCCCTGCTCAGCTACCTATTCGCCAGCGTTGCGATGACTTAACCCAAGCACCGAAGCGCGAACCAAAGTCAACGGGAAGTAATTGATATCTTGTGTACTGGCGTGAACATTTTAGAATTCGGGTCTTTCGTGGAACGCCTCCTTCCTATCCATTGCTTGCGTTCCCCATTTCCCTTCACACATATTCTTTCCTGATTGCGGTGAACGACCACTTCAACATCCCTAATTTTATTACCGGAATTTTCCTCGAACATGATGTTCCCCGAGGGCCCTTTTCCCTACGGGTAGGATTATTCGAACAACGTTGCTATCCCGTCTCAACGACGAGTTATAAAGCGCTTGGGTCTAGAATATATCGGCTTCGTCTACAGCACTGGCGAATAACTGAGGCATCGTCGGCCTGCACGATGGATCCGGACTGGGATGAGGTATCCCGGATAGCGGTCCCTCCTTCAGGTCCCCATGTCCTACCGACCGTCGCCTCAACGATTGCGTTTGATGACACACAGGAGTTACTGTGGACGGGAAATGAATTCGTGAGACCACGGCCTCGAGTCCCTATCTAGGATAACATGCGTCGCAAGAGCGCATCGCCTAGACAAGTAATTTGCTAATACATATCCAATGTTGATTATCGTTAGGGACGAGTGACTTCCTTCTACGGGCCAGAGCTGCAGAGATATACGTCCGTAAAAGCACACCCGGCTTCTGAAGGGCCTGTTCGCCAGCTTCTATTCCATGAGAAAGGCGTATTATCAGTGTCCTCTAAGAGCGTGCATCTCACCTCCCGCCGTGGCCTGACAATATGGCATCTCTCCCACGAAGAAATGGAGGATCTCCGTTGCATGAGTTTCACCAAGCAGGCTTCAAGGGTTATTGTTGCTGGCTGCCAACCCGTAATGTTCCACATTGACGTTGACAAGGGAATAATTGTCGAGAAATTAATCACGGAGCATAATTACACAATTATGAAAAAGAGTCGTTACCTATGTGCCGCGACTGATACTGGCTCTGTTAATGCACTGAGTCTATCCGATTTCAGTGTCGTGAAAAGTTGGAAAGCACATGGTACCGTTGTCAACGACATGGATGCGCGGAACGACTACCTCGTTACGTGCGGCTTTTCCGTACGACATCTCGGATCTCCGATTGTCGACCCCTTGGCGAATGTGTACGATTTAAAAACCTTGGCCCCATTACCCCCTATTCCGTTTCACGCTGGTGCAGCGTACGTCCGAATGCATCCAAAGTTACAGACTACAAGCTTCGTAGCTTCCCAGACCGGGCAGCTCCAAGTAGTTGATCTAATGAATCCTAATGCTATTAATCTGCGACAGGCAAATGTCACATTTATGCTCGGTCTTGAGATTTCACCCTCAGGGGAAGCTCTCGCAGTCAACGATGCTGAATGCCTCATACATCTTTGGGGTTCCCCGTCCAAAATCCATTTCAACGAAATGAGCAAGGAAACGGAGTTCGCGGATGTTCCCTCCCGGCCGCCTATGATAGATTGGTCAAATGATACCCCCTTGAACGTGATTGGTATTCCATACTACCATGAGCGATTACTCTCTGCCTGGCCGAGCCACTTGGTTTTTGAAATCGGAAGCATTCCTCCGCAAGTTGATCAGGCCATTATTCCATATCTTCACGCTGGGGAAATAGGGCATTACGCCCCCAATCCGCGGAAGACCAGGAGATATCAGGTTGAAAGCACGCGGGCACAACCCGCCGCGGAGCCGGCATTAGCTGCTCCAAAGTTTTTAAGCGAGCGAGCAAGGGCTCAGGCAAAAGCCAAGTTTGACAATAATATGAGTGAAACTGCGGATACATTAGAGAGTATAGCCATTAATAAAGAGGCAGAGGAGGATCCACTTTTAAAGTATGGTAATGTCGAGATCAAGTATAGCAAGTTCGGAGTGGATGATTTCGATTTTAGGTTAGTTACGTTTTTCAATACTCCGCATCGAATGGATGCTAACCCCGCTCCCATCTAGATATTACAATAACACGGTGTTTTCGGGATTGGAGACGCATATTGCCAACTCCTTCGCAAACCCTCTTCTTCAGCTGTTTAAATTCATTCCACTAGTCAAAAATTTAGCCCTCCACCATGTAGCAACGAACTGCATATACGAAAACTGTCTCCTGTGTGAAATGGGTTTTCTGTTTGACATGCTCGACAAAGCAAACGGGCAAAACTGCCAGGCAACAAACCTGTTAAGAACCTTCAGTGGTTTTCGAGAAGCAACAAATCTTGGTCTTCTTGAGGACAATTTGACCACGAAGTCCCTGTCGTCAACTATTCAGTCAGTCAATCGGTTTTTCCTGCATCAGATATCCCACGATTTTCGATTGATGTTTCCACATTCTGAAGAACTAGACCATACACTCTCAACTGATGCGGTCGAGTCAATCCGCTGTATGCTCTGCCGCAACGAGACAGTACGACCTGGAAACGCATTTGTCAATGAGCTAAACTATCCCGCGATCGACCCCAAGCAGGCACGGCGCAATGCTTCCTATCGATTCCCTGATATACTCAAATCTAGCATTGAGCGCGAAACCCAAAATAGGGGTTGGTGCAGCCACTGTCGCCGCTATCAGCAAGTTTCTATCCGAAAAACGGTTCACCGGATGCCTCTGGTTTTGATGATAAATGCATCCGTAAATAACCCGAACAGCCGACAATTATGGAGCACGCCTGGGTGGCTCCCCGAAGAGGTTGGGATCATTCTTGAAGATGGCCGCATACAATGCTTCGAAGGCGAGGAGCTTATAACACGCAGAAAGAATGGTACACCCGGCCTTATAATATACGAACTGGTAGGGCTTGTGGTTGAAATTGATATCCCGGAACACCACAAGCCACACTTAGTTTCTTTCATAAACGTCGCAATATCTTCGCGTGATGTGAACGACAAGAACCGATGGCATCTTTTTAACGATTTCCTCGTGACGGAAGTTAGCCGAGAGGAGGTGTTTTCATTTAATCAGTCTTGGAAGTCGCCTTGCAGTTTGGCTTACCAAGTCCAGACTGCCCGACACGGCGTGGATGATTCTTGGAAAAGTGAACTTGATACCACTCTGTTGTTTTACGAGTGGTCTATGAAGTGCGTTTCGTTATATTTTTATTTTTTTTTGGTTCTATTTCCCCCTGCGGATTTATCACCCACGCATTCATTTCCTCTATCGCTATTACCGTTATTCTTCTCTAACCTACCTACAGTAATTATCGCCCAACGGAGGCCTGCCGAGTGCTGCAACCTGATGAAAAGCCCTCCACAGGAACCCCAGTTGCTCTCGATACCGAATTTGTGGACTTAGAGAAGGCAGAAATTGAGGTCAAAGCAGATGGAACCCAGGAAATCGTTCGCCCAAGTAAAAGCGGACTTGCACGTGTTTCTGTCATCCGAGGCTCTGGCACCGCCGAAGGTGTCCCGTTTATCGATGATTACATCACCATAAAGGACCCAATTGTCGATTATGTCACGCAGTATTCAGGGATCAAACCGGGCGACTTGGACCCACGAAGCAGCTCCCACAATCTTGTTCCTTTAAAAGTTGCATATAAGAAGTTATGGCTTCTTTTGAATCTGGGCTGCATTTTCGTCGGTCATGGTCTGGCTTCCGATTTCCGTAAAATCAATATCCAAGTTCCTAAATCACAAACTGTGGATACTCAGTATTTGTTTTTCCACCCGTCAAAAAACCGTCGCCTGAGTTTACGATACCTTGCATGGGCTGTTTTCAAGGAATACATCCAGGAGTCCACCACATCTACCACTTCGCCTGAACCTGCTCAAGCTGCCCCTGTCAACGTTACCGCGAATACATCTAGTTCTGAAGGTCATGACTCAATCGAAGATGCTCGCATGGCCCTGCGACTCTGGAAAAGGTTCCAAGAATACGAGGATGCGGGTATTGTATCGCAAATGCTTGAAGAGATATTCCGCGAAGGCTTTAAGCTGGGTTTCAAACCCCCTCCACGGAATTCCCCTAATTCTAACCCCGCTACGACTGTGCCGGGAGCTGCTATAGCCCGACTTCCTGTCAGTGGGCGCAACACACCTGACGTAGCAGTAGTCGGAGCTGGAACGCTTAGCTCAGGCGGGAGTGTGAATGGTAGTACACCGTCGACGCCGCGGCAATCATTCAGGAGATCTTCCGCCCTCACTCCTAGCAATGGTAGTTTCACAGGAAACACTAGCAAGATACCGGACATTTTTGGAGGTAGCCCTCTGCGATGAGCCTTCTTCCAGATAAATGCTGCGATTTGAAAAATCACGTGTCATTATAAATAATAATACCGTTTCTGGTCGAACAATTTGCAAAATTGGAATTTTTATGGCAGGATCTGAGAGCCCATCGAACTCTTGGCATTCGTTATTCAGGGGTTTGTTTTTTTATATATAATCAACGATTGGTTATATGCAACTTGCTGCTCGCTATGTACGTATGGCTAATATACACGCACATTTAATGAATTATGAATTATCTAAGGACATCCTAACATGCCCGTAAACTGTCTATCTCACGTTTCACGCATACCTACTTATCTTAGTACTTTATCTGATTCCACATTTGCGATACCGCCTGGGAAGCTACTCTAGAACATTTCTCAAACATATTCTATCAGCCAAAACTTTTCAAGTGTCCACTCAAGGCACGGGATAGCCAAACCAACGTTCTAACACTCGTTCATATCGGCCTGAAACTCGCATCCCTCTTTTTTTTTTTTTTTTTTTTTTTTTTTTTTTTCCCTTCTGGGAGTTGGGGGATTGGTTTCGGGGAGGGTAACAACCTTGCGAAATTGGATACAGCCCAAGTGCAAGTTTTGGAAACTACATCATGTTTTCGGCGCTGCAGACTACCATCTTAGTTTCAGTCTGGGAATAGCCTACAACAGGCCGAAGAGAATAGTCCCTTTGAAGCAGGATTTGGACATCTAGCTTACGACACGCAATCTCTATATATCTTTTTATTTCTCACATAACAGGTCGAAGTCCACTTTATCCACTTAGTCGAACGAACATAGGAAAACTGAAGACCCTAGATGCTCGAGCACAATAGATCAAAGGATGGCTTGTAAGGGAAATCCTGGGAAATGTGAGTTGAAGGGTGCCAGCCAGTATCATTTGGAGAAACAAACAAGGCAACAGACAGCATTTAAATCAGCCCGCCAACCACGCACGCGTTCTTTTCTCAAAGGGAAACGACACTTGCACTTAATACCCCCCCTTCCTCCACAAGGGCCTTGACTACACCCTCTTCTACGGCCTTATCAACTCCAAGAATCATTAATGCCTCGTGCTCTACCTCATACTTATCCCTCGTGTCAGGTTGGCTCATATCCTGACTCTTAGGCTCACTGGTAGCTGCGATTCTCTCGCACTCCAATAGACCTTTTGAGACAGGGGCCACGCCCATAAAGTTGATATTAACGCCTTCCTTCCCCAAGATGCTTCCGACAACTCCAATTTTTCCGGGAGAATCGTAGTTGTGACAAATGAGTAACGTACCATCGGGAACGAAGGACGTAGCAAATCGACCGAGACGAGATATTAATGGCTGAGACTGCGAGCATGTCCCGGATATGATTTGCTGCTGCCCGGGGACCGCTTTTGGTGCAGGCACGGAACTTGCAACATCAGGCGGTGGACGGGAAGATGCGCGCGAGGGCGGGTGGGCCACCAGTGTGATGAGAGAAGAGTAAGAATGCGATGCTGGATCGCGGGAGAATCGCTCGTTGACAACAATGCCACGTTCCTTTGCAATGAGCTCTGCGTTGACGATATTTACGTTGACGCCCGCCGTGCTACTAATCGGAGCAATGAGCCCCTTGATCAGAGCTGCAAAGAGGGGTTTTGTATTATTAATCCCAGAAATCTCCCCTTCGTAGATCATGTCAAATGTGCTGCTATTTGCCGTAGATGTGGCGGCAGATGTGAAATGCTGGATATATAGGCTCCCCATTTTCTCTACGAGATGTACAAATGGTTGGAGCTTCTTGTATACTTCCGGCAAAATCAAGGGCGCATTCACGGCACTTCGAGGGAGGGCACCGCTCAATATCTGGAGAACCTGTTCGCAGACATCAATGGAGACATTCTCCTGTGCTTCAACTGTAGAGGCACCAAGATGTGGGGTCGCCAAAACACGGGGATGGGCAATGAGTTTTGCGGCGCTGGAACCAATAGCTGGAGGCTCTGATGTAAAAACATCAATTGCCGCTCCAGCCAAATGGCCTGATTCTAGGGCTTCGAGAAGAGAAGTTTCGTCAAAAGTTCCGCCACGAGCGACATTTAGTACACGAGCGCCTCTTTTCAACTGCGAAAGCTCTGCGGATGATATCATTCCCCTCGTTGATGCGATCAAAGGTGTATGAATCGTGAGGAAATCTACTGTCGGCAGCAGTGCATCAAGGGAAGGTAGAAGGTTCACAGACGCGGATTCTGCAACCGCAGCAGAAGCATAGGGATCGACAGCATTCACCTTCATCCCTAGCCCTTTGGCGAGTCGCGCAACTATCAAGCCAACTATAAAGAACACACCGTATGAGGAATTGCTCTCTCAGGGGGTTTATGTTCAAAATTGGATCAATGCAGCTCGTACCTTTTCCCAGGCCGATAATTCCTAGGGTCTTCCCTTTAACTTCAACACCCACTAATCGACTCCTTTCCCATTTCCCATCTTTGAGGCTTGAGCAACCATTAGGGATGTTTCTGGCCATGGAAAGCATCAACGCTATCGTATGCTCGGCAGCAGCCCCAACATTTCCGGAGGGGGAGTTTATGACCACGATCCCAAGTTTGGTTGCAGCAGCAACGTCTATAACAAAAGGGGGGTCAGTGGTGTTCTGTGTTCTTCGAGACTACATGAGATATTGGACCGTTTGGATGGGAGCATTGCATAACCAAGTTGACTATTCCTCGGAGGGACCAAAAAAAAAAAAAAAAAAAAAAAGTAAATGCGTAGGATGAAGAGAAACGGAGTAGCTAAACAGAAGAATATAAGAGTCATTCTCACCAACGTTATCAACACCAACGCCTGCTCTCCCAACAACCTTCAGATTCTTCCCCGCCTGCAACACCTCCGCAGTGACTTTAGTCTCCGAACGTACAAGCAATGCTTGGTAGTCGGGGATGATTTTCACCAACTCGTCCGGGCTGAGGTCCGTCCTCTCGTGAACATTCAGGGTAGATTTGAGCAGTGACAGGCCGTCAGGAGACAACTTCTCTGGGACCAGCACTTTAGCTCGCACCGCATCATTTGAGAGTAGAGGCATGGGGGAAACGGATAGATGGATGAATTGAATAGATCTTTTAAGTGGGATTGATTGACTGACTACCCTGAGAAACAGAAATATGCTATGCTCAAAATGTAGATACTTATTTTCGACGCTGACAGCAGCAGAAGTGGAAGAAATGGAAGATGGAAGAAAGAGAGAGAGAGAGACAGAGAGATCACACAAACAAACACACGCGCATATATATATATATATATATATATATATATATATTAATATTATCTTGTACTGTACTTTTTTAACTTACTTACCTCTCTGCATAACCATCCTCCGGCCTAAACAGCTCAGCTTCTCCTCATTTCCGGAAAGGCGCACAGCCCCATGAATCCGCGAAAAGCTTTAGGTATAAGAACAAGAACACACTAGGGAGAGGGGGAGAGGGGGATAGGAGGGGGGGGGGACAATTCAGTGCCACAATGCATGCATCAGTATTCAATCTCTAGCCAGCCGGAAATTCAATATTCAAACAATTCAACAAGCCAACACCCAATCGCTCACAATCTCCCCGGAGTAAGTTAACTGCCTTAGGCACAGCACAGTCCGGGGTATTATTGGGCGCAGCGAATGGGCTAGTTGGACGTTCTGCCGTCCCCTTGTGAACCCTGCCTGATAGATAAGAATTTCTATTAGTTAACCTGATTTGTCTCATTTTGGTTTGGAACCGTTTCTTCCAGCAGTGGAGTGGGCTTTCAAGGTGAAATCGGAACTGGGGGCCTGGAGAAGGGCTGGGAGGTCGGCTTGCATTATTTAACTCCCAGTTCGATGTAGCTACTGTAACTTGGAGGGTGAGTATTGAGGAATGGCCCTTCAAATAAGCTAATCGTCTGGAGTTGAATGAAACCTTAAGAGGGCAAGTTCCTCTCAACTGAACTGGAACAAAATGTTAAATTTCCAAGCAACAGGCTGTAGGCATATCCTGCAACTACGTTCAAACTTCCAGCACACCGTGTCATCAACCTATGTTCTCCTAAACTTATCGATGAGTAGTCTGAAGACTCAATAAGTAAGCAACGACTCCTCCTCGCAAGGTCCGAATGTTGCATGAATGTGACGCCAGCCTTATGCTGAAGGATTGAGTCAGGCCAGACACCAACCACGGTTGACGACTTGAAGCCAATTTTATCCCCCTTGATATTAGTCCCCAGCGACGAATCGAGTTTCCAGGCGTAGCCGCCGGGATACAGCACGGGTATCCGTTACTGTTGGGCATAGACAGGCAGAGGTTATTTGTACTGGGAAAAACTCCGGGAACTAAGTTTTTGCTGTTATTACTAACTCGACATTCTTATTCTAATACATGTAGTTTGCAGTCCAATGGTTTACCAGGAATGTATTGGAAGAAAAAGGGGAAAAAGAAAAGAAAAAAGAAAAAAATACGGTATGGGAAAATGAAAAGCAATAGAAAGTAACTTAGATCATACAGGAAGCTTACTTCTTATAGCCTACTAATACTCCATCGATTCCTCGAAAAGCCTTCTCAGTTCTTCTTTCTCCGCACCCAGTTCTTTGCTCAGGCTGGGGGCCAGGTTCAACACGCGCTGCTGTGGAATAGTCCCCTCGATCAGGTCGTCCAGATTGCTAGAGTTGAACCCAAGCTCCTTTAGCCCGCGTGGTTGGTCTCCAAGCCCGATCAGGAACTCAGCCACTGCTTCACCCAGCACCTCACCGGCGCTCTCTCTTTTCATATTTGAAATGTCCACCCCAAAAGCTTCCGCTGCAGCAAGGTGGCGGTCCGGGTTGCTGGCCGCCGTGAACTTGAAAACAGCTGGCGCAGTGACTGCAACAGACACGCCGTGGGGAATGATATCGTGGCCCACAGCATATCCTGGGTGCTTATATCCCGGATTCTGTCCGGAGATGGGGTAGCTCATCCCGTGGCAGAGATGGACACCGGCATTCCCGAAGCCTACGCCAGCCAGCGTTGCAGCGAGAAGCATTTGGCTTTGGGCTTCAGTGTCATCTGGGTTCTTAACAGCACGAGGAAGATACTTGACCGTACTACGTAGCGCTTGCAGGGAGAAAATGTCCGAGATTGGGTTTGCACCCTGGTAGGCGGGGCGGTTGATTGGGTTGGTTGGTCTCGGCGTTCTCTCGTTGTAGGGAATCGCGGTCCAAGACTCCAGGGAATGGCAGAGGACATCCAAACCGGAGGAAGCATGAACTTGCGATGGCATGGTTCGTGTGTTGAGAGGATCACATATGCCCAGCGTAGGCTTCAGGTTTCTGTGTGCAACGCCTGTTTTCGCCTTCTTGGAAACCAAGTCGAAAATGGCGGTACCTGTGGTTTCAGCGCCCGTACCGGCAGTGGTGGGCACGGCGATCAGAGGTTTGAGTGTCCTCGTAATTGGCAATCCTTTTCCAAGGGGGGCGTTTACGAAGTCTAGGAAGTCGGCTTCCGGATAGATACAATATAGATTCATGAGTTTCGCCGTGTCGATGACGGACCCGCCACCTAAAAAAATCAGGGATACGGTTGGGTTAGCTAGAAGGGCCAACAGTAGTTAACTGCTTTTTTAATTCACTTTTATATATATGAAACGTACCTACGGCAAGAAATGCATCAGCGTTGTATGGTTTCGCAAAGGCAATGGCATCTTTGATTCTATTTCAGGCAACGACCCGTCAGCAACGTATTTTCCACTTATTTTCCACCTACTACCAAGTTAGATCCTCAGGGGACAACGGAACGTTGGAGGATTACAAAACTCACGAATAATCCTTTGGCTCAACGCGAACTTTATCATATACGGTAAATTCCACGCCTTCTTTCGTCAGAGCCTCGATTGCGTGCTTCATGGGGTCTAACTTGGCGATATTTGAATCCGTCACGATACAGACACGCTTAGCGCCCAAGTTTTTGAAATCCATGCCAACCTCCTTGGTGGAACCTGGCCCAAATCGGATACTCGAGGCGGCCATTTCAAAGGCATATTCCTTCTGGTGGGAGGGATCGATGGGGGTTGCAAGATTGCGGACATGCTTGGATATGGGGGAGGCATGGCGATGGTGGTGGTGATGCGCAGGGTTGGAGTGGCAGGGACATGTTGGAGGGTGAGTGAATTGGACAGTCCGGAGGAGATTGAGAGCCCTTGAAGCGGCAGAGGGAGCTATTCTTATAGAGGGGAGGCTCATGGTTGCGGTTTGTTGATAGGGAGGAGAAGCGGAGGTATTATCTGGGGGAAATCGGGCTTTCAATTGACGAGGAGGGTTGTAAGGATGATGTCAAGGAAAGAGAATGAGAAAGGAAACGACAGAGATCATAGAAGATTGAACATAATGATTATTATTAACATGTATACAGTATCCTTTTGAAGCTGACCATGTCTGGAGCAGCGATGAAGTTGTTGCGGGGGGAAAGGGTTTGCGGTTCGGCAAACATCCCGTCGGCTCGGAGCAGGGGGGGGTTATTTAGCCGAGCGCGAGTCGGTGCAGTCGAGCAGAGGAAGAGGAGTGCAATTTATATAGGGTTAAACGTCAATACTACTACTATTAGTCAATTAATTATTGTTCTGTACGGAATATAGAGGAACAAACTACCATCAATATCCACTTTGTATTATTGAATAGCATGCTGCGTTGACCGGCAACCATTGTAACCTAACTACTCCGTACAGGCCTTTAACTACTAAAGAGCTTAAGTTAACTAACTTAGATAAACTAAATAACAGGCTAGTTAATGGTGATGACGATGATCCATGGACAATAATAATAATAAAGTTAATAATAGTAATAATAAAATGCCATCCTCCCGCTTCCTTTCCGTCAAAGCCCCCGCCCGACGCCAAACTGCTTCCATATATTCTATTTCTTCCATTTTTGTTCAACAATAGCGGATTCTCTCTTTTCTGCTCTGCTTCTACACCAACTCTCCGGCCCCATTACTTTGTTCTGCTCTTCATAATAAGCCCAGCTGGGTTAGTTAAACTAACTATTCCCCCCAATGATGTCATTTTCTCTTTTTGGCACTGACATCCGCACGTTGATATCCGTATATCACTGCGACAGAAATCATGGCGACAGACACTTCCACATACAAATTGAACCGTATGATATGTCCCCATTATTGGTCTTACTGGTGCTACTGGTGCTACTGCTGCTGCTTCTACCTCCTCGAGGGCTGCGCTGACTGATCTTTGTCCCTTTATTAGATTCTATGCTTCGGGTGAAGGACCCAAAGAGATCAGGTACCTACCCCCATTTGACTCCCTGTCTCGTCTCCGTGGTGATAGGTTAACAAAATCTAATACAATCGTTGTTTGTTGTGTGTGACTAGTTGAATTTTACGAGTTCCTCGGCCTCTCCCTCATCAACAAGATCGATTTCCCCGAGAACAAATTCTCCCTCTACTTCCTAGCATACAACGGCCCCCAGTCCCTCTCGGGTTCAAACCACTGGTCGGACAGGAACGGCGTCGTCGAACTTACTCACAACTACGGCACAGAGGATGACCCTTCGTACGCAATCACGAACGGCAACACAGAACCACACTGCGGATTCGGTCATCTCGGAATCTCCGTTGATAATCTCGAGCTGGCATGTAAACGCCTTGAGGATGCCGGGTATGTGTTCCAGAAGAAGATTGGCGAAGGGAAGACCCAGAACCAGGCCATCGTGAAGGATCCAGACGGATATTGGATAGCTATCAGTTGGAAACACGAAACGGATGCAGCCGTTGGACAGTCGGATCCATCCACCTATCGGCTGAACCACACTATGCTCAGGGTCAAGGACTCTCAAAAAAGTTTGAAATTCTACCAGGAAGTTTTAGGCATGACTCTTGTCCACACGGCCGAGCTTGAGAATGGGGAAGGGAAGCGGTTTTTACTCGCCTATCCCGCGTCCAATCCGTCGCTCCAAGAGGGCACTGCCAATCCCACCGCGGACTGGGAGGGTTTGGTGGAATTGACATGGATTTACGGCACAGAAAAGCAGGAAGGGAAGGTCTATCATGATGGCAACGCAGAGCCTCAGGGTTTCGGGCATATCTGTACGTGATTTAAGATTAAGATATTCAATCCCCTTCCTCCCCCTCCCCCCCCCCAAAAAAAAAGAGAGAGAGAAACCTCATGAAGGCCTAGCCAAAAAAGCTAATCAATTTCCCTACCGTGCAGGCGTGTCAGTGGACGATCTAGACGCTGCGTGTGCTCGTTTGGAGGAGCAAAAAGTGGCCTGGAAAAAGCGACTGACAGACGGGCGCATGAAGAACGTAGCCTTCGTGCTTGACCCAGACGGATACTGGATCGAGATCATCCAGAACGAGAAGTTGAAAAATCGAAGTAATTGGTAAAGAGGCCGTGGGATGAACTCTCAGCACTTCCCCGCGTTAAATACCTCAGCAGGCGGCGTGTTTGCCTCGCAGCATTTGGAGGCGGCCTGACTACTCCGTACACAGTAAATAAACCCTTTACCCCTGGCTTGTATGGCCGCGCAAGATGATGGGGAATCTAAGAATGAGTCAGCTAGTTTCATAGTTAACTAGCTAAAACCAATTCGATTAAACTAATATGCACAGACTGATGAATGTATTAGTTATTATTATTAACTAGTTATGATGTTTTATTTTGTAAGCTCAAGAGGCAGGGAATTGGTCGTGTGAGGCGCCTGGCTGAATGGATATCCAACCCCCACGGAGGAAGAAGAAACCAACCATATTAATAAATATCCCATATCATATCAGGCTCTAATAAGTTAGTTAACTAGTAGTTAACTAACTAACTAGATGACGGGCTTCTTTTCTTTTTCTTTTTTTGCTTTTATATTTCCCCGCGGAATATTATAGTGACTCGAACTGACCAGTGACAAACCCAACCCGCAATCTGGTTGGCTCCCTTCGTAGTTATTTTACTGCGTATAGCGTAGTTATAGTATTCGCCTCAAATGCTCTCGCTAGCTAAAATAATATAATAAATAATATTAAACTAAAACTAACTTAAACCCTTCCAACCACGCAGATAATAAATACGATACGCTGCACCGTTATGTTATATCATAAACAACGACGACCAACAAACCCTTCTCAAACACATGATTTTCCGTGTCCCTTAGCGCATTAGAAGGCCCTCCAAGGTATGGTTATTTTTTTATTTCTTTTTCGTTTCTTTTTCCTTATCCCCAGTTTCCGTCCGACACGTGCATGCATGCGACTCCATTTCTTACATTTCCCTGCAAGCCGATTTTACCACTCAAGCCGCCCTTATTAGTTAGTTATGGCTTTAAATCCCCAGACAATGAATGGGCTGTCCTGTCCGGCCGTGTCATTTGCCCACCTTTTCCCTCCAGCGGCCCCAACTATCTCTTTGCTTTTTCTGTTGTTTCTTCTGCCAGCCCTCTCGTATTTTTTGCATGGGTTTCTTGTGGGACAGACAAATGCTGCGTGACGGATGCTCCGAGCATATATCTATATATCTCTGTGTCTGCCATCCCATCCGCAAACACTCCCCAAGCAGCATGTATCCGCAACGAGCCATGCTCCCCATCATACAGACCCCCCCCTGTGATCTGAACTTGTATCTGTCGCGACTCTTCCTGCGAACATGTCGATAACCGAACTAGATACAGGCGCCGGCACCAGCGATACAGATTCGTACCACTGCTTCGAAGACCCGTTCTTCGTCCCTGTATGGGAGAGAAGTCACGTGAAGTGCGCGCAGAATCTCCTCGAGTGCGACGGCGAACCCATCGAATACGACGACGAGGAAGAGGACTTTATAGATAACTGTTTCTTCTTCCCCGAAGACTGCTCCTGCTCTTCGACCAAGACATCATCGACCTTCAGCACTGATGTCACTGACCCCGAACTCGACGATATCAACCCTGCCGAGATGATCCCAGAGCTGCCGGGCATCAAAATGCTGGACACGGAAGCCCTGACCAACCTGCTAGAGGATAACCTATGCCCCCCAGAGATTACCTCTATTATGTTAGTTCCCTCTTATATACGTATATATGTATATGTATAACATTTATTTGTATTCGAGAGAAAAAGAATCCCCTCCTCATCAGGTCATCACGTAAATCTGGAGTGTCTCGGCACTGATAAAACCTGCATAGGATATTCGCTACAAATGGGGCCATTTTCGCGCATGCCTCCTCACTTCCTGCACGCAAACTACGAAACCTGAGCGCGACATACGGCGCCGCGTATTTATCATATGCAGTAAATGCCCCCGCTGGTAACCTGACTGGCGTTAACCCCTCCAGCCATCCCTCATCATTTGTAACAACACCCTCCGTGCCATTAGGCGATGTTGGGTCGATAGTCTTCGAATTCGAAAACCTAGCCGCGGTCGTCACCAAAATCGCAGACAAAGTCCTCCTCGCTGTCGTGGGTCCCAGCCATATTAACCCACCGCAGGACCAGCAACAGCCGCCCCCATCCTCTAATGGTGATGGACGCGACCGCGCACCGCCTGGGTCTGCAGCAAGCGATACAGAACGAGCCACCGCCGGAGCCGAATCCTACTCAACAGCATTCGACAGCCACCCGATGGACCACCCTAATCCCACGAGTCTTGCATCATCAGCACCCAACCCAACCTGTACACCGGCAGCAGCGCTGCACGAAAGGGTAGCCTCAGCAGCAACAGCAGAACGTCCTCTAACACCTGCTTATAACGACTCGGACGCGGCGCTACAGCTGCAGTGGGAAATCGACCGCAGCAACGACCTAGACCGCCTCGCGAGTCTGAATCTTGACTCGTCGCCTGCAGTGCTTCTGGCCCTGGAATCCAAGTCCGCTGCCCTGGGGAAGTTCCTGAGTAACAAGCTACAGGATCTTGAGTATCCGGATGATTTCTGATTGCTATCGCTTGCTTTAATTCTTCTTGGATCACTTTTGATATTTCGTGTTTGCATTTTGCCGTCTCGTTCATATTGCACCCAGTCATTTCTGTTTTATCTATGTGCCGTTACAGCGTATTTCCTTTTTTTTTTTTTTTTTTTTTTTTTTTTTTTTTTTTTAATAAACATTGTCCGAAACAAATACCACGTCCAGCTTTTCTGACATATTTCAGTTAATAAATCATTTTCTCACTCCTCTTTTTACTTCTGGTATGATTGAAACTTCCCGTGGACTACGCATAGCATAACTACGGCTTTCTTTGTTTCCGGCGTATTGTATTCTATATCTCTGTTTATTTATTTGGGCGTTGGAGAAGGAGCTTTCAAGTATTAAAACCTTAACGAAAGGGTATAGTTATTTTTAAGCTAAGTCAAAACTACGAATGAGAGTTAATTCATTATAAAAAAAATATCATCTATCCCTGGTCCGCCGCCTCCATTCAAACTAGGCAGCCCTATGTGTGGACGTAGCAAACTGTTGAACTAGTAGTGAGAAAACAATCGTAGGTATCCTCGAAACGAAAAATGGATGTCCGAAAGTCCAAGGAGATATCATGAGTGTGAATATAGAAAAAAAAAAAGCAAACGAAATCCGAGATGGATAAATGGCGTAAGTGAATATGTGTATGTATATGTTGCCATGTTTTCAAAACGCTCCGCTCCTCACATTATCCTGAAAAAGCCGCAGAGGGGAGTAAAAACAAATGAGTAAAAAACATAGCGCAACAACCTAAACAAGAAACTGAAGGAAGTAGTGAATGGAAAAATCGGTCCGTCCCTCATCAATGCAAGTAGTGAGACTAATATATATATGGATATATAGATATAGATATAGACTGCGATATGATCATGGTCTACCCGCATCCACTAGCGGCGCTATGGTCCCCTCTTCTTGCTGTGATGTTGCCGCGGTAGGTGCTGGGGGTATTTCCGTCGTCTCTGCAGCTGGTTGAGCTACAGGCGGAGGAATCCCGTGCGCACCACTTGTAGTCCTACTCACAGCTGGGCTCGTGGTCTGACTGACCGCCCCAGAGCCCGACCCAGGCCCAGACCTGTTAGCCAATTTGGTAAGAACATCGAGCCAATCTTCCGCGATTTCCTTGGAATGGGCCTTGAAAGTGAGTTCAGTCGTCGTGGAGAATGCCTGTCCGACCTTGCCGCCTGAGACGTCTTTACCCTTAATGGTGAACTTGACGCCATCGCCGCTACCGATGGAGCACTCGGGAATATAGAGCGAGATGTCCGCTGTTGGCTCCCGGTTGTAATCATCGTTGTCTTTGAAACCGTGTAGGTACCCGGCTGGGGAAATAGCGTAGTAGCCTGGGCTGTATCCCTTGATCATTGCGCGGGATTTTCTCTCGAGTGTGCCTTCGATTAGCGCTTTGGTGGCGGAGTGCGTTTGGTTGGGGAAGATGGCGTCGGATATGGTACGGGCAGGCTTGTCGGGGTTGATCAGGATTTCTTCATTGCGCACGGAAAAGTTCATCCATTCGAAATTGTCGGGGATTTGCTGCGCTGTGTCGACCATGTTTGCATACAGTTTGCCTACGCTGCCAGAGTGGGCTCCCATGCAGTTGGAAAACTGGAGAAGTGCAGCCTGCATCGTTTTAACAATATGGGATTCGAAAAGTGAAAGGGAATTCTGAACCTGCAGCATCTCCTCCCGATAATTGTTTTCTTCGGCCACCTGTCTGTTCATGCGGTGACTAGTGCCTCTCCGCAAAATGTAGGGATCGTGCGCAGGCTCTAGCTTGCCTCCGACGTCAAAAGCAGCTGTGTATTTCCCTAGCATTTCAATATGTTTGTGGGTGGCAGCAGTGGCTTTCCTGACCTGCTTTGCACACTTTTCGGCACCATGTTCGACGCCTTCGGCCTTGGATTTGATCTCTTGATGAAGCTGCTTGAGAATCGGGAGAACGAGGTTTTCCAAGTTCTTCTCCGTGTCCCGGTGTAAATCCACGATTGCCTGTCGCAGGACGCTGTTAGAGAAAAAGGCTTGGAGAAATTGACACTGCAAAGGCTAAGTGCTTCAAAAATGGATAGACTTACCCCGGTATTGGTGCGTAGGTTATCAAAGAGACCAACGACACCTCCCTTGCCCTCGCTGAAATGCGACGCGTCCTCCAGAGGTTCTGGTAAGGCCTAATGAGAGGGAAATCAAATGAATCCAGAAGATTAGCACTCAGCGACCTTTCCATGCGTCACTAAACAACCAGCTGACAGGCGAGCGGGGGGTCTACCTTCAGAATCTTTCCAAATTCTTTCGACTGGGACTCATGGGCTTTGTGGGTCGCAGTAATGTAGTTTTCGAGGTATCCGCACACATGTTTCCAGGCCTGTAGCCGGTTATATAGAACTTTGGAACTGTTCTGGGTAAGGAAAGAAAAATCCATCGGTTAGCCTATCTTTCTCCGATCTCAATCCCTAATAGCAGAAAAATTTACTGGGGGATCCTACACTCATATCGGCCTCGAGAGCAGGATCATCATCACTTTTGGCGGTATTCGTAGTCGAGACAGTTTTAACGGTAGAAGACCGCCGCGGTAGTTTTGTCAAAACCATGATGGGCAGCGTTCTGGTGACAGTTATATAGGAAGTGAAAGGGCTTGTTCGGTAACTGGCGATATATACCCAAAGACCGGCTGAAGGCAAAGTTGCAGCAACAGTTGCTCGTTAAAATTGCTTCCAAGAAAGCAGCAGGGTCCAATTGTCGGTATCATGAATGAAGAATAGTGTTTCAATGACCAAAAGCGACGGTGGATGATGCCGAATTTCCTCTCTCACACACAAAGAGAGAATCAAAGGGCCGGTGTGGTTGAGGATGGATGTGGCGGGGTGGAGAGACTACAAGGCGCAGAGGGGTAGGGGTATTTTGAGCTTGGCGGTCAAAACATACGGAGTTGAGAGGAGCAGCGCAGGAGTGGCTAGTTTGCGGACAAAAGAGACAAAGAATAGAAGAATAATTATTCTTATCGTATATAAACTTGAATAATAGGACAAGGTCTGAATGTCTGAATGCAGCGCGAGTGAGAATAGCAGACAACTGGGATTTCGGCTGAGGTCAATGTGATGTCACGCCTCGGGATGTCAGATGAGTCAGCAAGGAAGTGGCAGGGACCAGATCTCTAGTCTAGACATCCATGGATATGTCATATGTGTGTAGTGTAGGGACGGATCATGTATAGTCCCCCCAATCGCAACGTGCAAGGGCAAAGGCGTTTCAAGTTCTGTATCCCCTCTTCCTGGGCAGAGCCCAGCTATTCAAGTGGCAAGTGTTGCATTGCTGAAACAGGGAGACCAGTTTTGTTCAACAAGAACTCGATCACAAATTTCAGGGCAAAATCCATCCAACCACGTTCTAACCTCAAACAGGGACATGTTAATAGGAAACAGAGAAAAGAAATTCAGAGGGGAGGAGGAAAAACGGGTCCAATGATAAAGTGATGAGAGAGAAAGGAATTTTATCTAAAAACCAACAACACCAAAGAAAAAAACAAGATGAAACTCCCCATGATCCTGTCCTGTCCCAACTTCCCGCCAAAAGTAGTGTGTAAAATTGTTATAGCCCAACCAACACCGTCTATGCAAATAGGCACATCCTAGCAAATGTATAAAAAATATATATATAAAGAAAAAGGAGAAAAAACAAGTCCCTCCTGCCGTGGCGTAATGATGGATAAATAGATTAGATGGTACATAAGAGAGGCGTAAATATTCGTTAATGTGTATAATGTGTATAGTTCGGCAACGAAACAATGGCATAATGATTATGTATGTTTATACACACAATCACCAAAAGCCTAGAGACTCAACCCATACTATGAAAGTTGAGCGATGCTCGACCGTCACTATATATCGTTGCTATGGCTCCGATCGTGAAGCCGGAACAGTGATCGATGTCTCGTGTCGCTGGTTAGCAAGGGACGATGGGAAGGACTGGGTCGCATGGGAGTTATGGAAACACCTCTAGCATCTCCAGCAGTAGCCGATTGGTAGTCGGGTAGGCCTTCGTTGGAATGTGGTGAGGGATGCGATCGAACTGCAGTGGCGTAACTGGGGACGCGCGAGAGGTGCTCGACTTCACTAATTTGCGAGCTAGGCGTAGCCACACCCGATGGAATGTCGTCGTCCTCAGATAGCCGCCGTGAGGAGGTCGCGGTCGCAGGTGTAATAATCCCAGGACTCTGGATGTTAATGGACGGTGTACTATCCTCCGAATTCACCAGCTGGGATTCTTGGCTTGATGAGTCTGTCGCTAATTCAGCGGATTCCGAGGGCGGGGGGGTAAATGGGAATGTGGCAGCGCCAAGATGCAGGTTGTTTAGTCGGGTATGTAAAGCAGTTGGTGAGATATTCTGAGATTCCGAGGCTACCACGGCGTTGATGTTATCTATTGAGAGATTTCGACTAACGGACGAGAAGGGTGTGCCAGGGCGACTGCTATTGCCAGGAGTCCGATAGCCAGAAAAATCTATTTCGCTGTACAGCTGATCGAATCGATGCTCTCCATACAGAGGAGGCGCCTGCTGTGCCATCGTATGGATAACTCGCTGCGCGGAGTGCACGGATTGATCAATTAGATTATTGTTATCGCCGATGGGGAGGTTGGGAGAAATAAATATCGAAACAGGAAGACTAGCACGTAGCTATGACTCGGGAAGCCGCGCTGTTAGCTTTATACCTTATACATGGAAGAATATATGCTGAAAGACGCATTGAACAAATTATTAATATACCTCAGACATATGGCGGTCCGGATTGCGAAGCTGGACTCTAAACTTTAGCTTGTGTTTGATTCTTATACCTCTCGTATCGGCGTCTTGTAAGCATTTGTTGAGTGACTTTGGTAGGTTCAAGATTCGGGAAAACTCAAATCCATCGGCATCTCTGTTAAGGGAGTGAGATTTTTCCAGTTGATCCAATGTGCAGATATCTTCAAGGATGACTTTAGTCCATTTGTGGGACAATTGGGCGGCTTCGTCGTCGTGGGGGTTTAAAACGAAGTCGTGGTTCTCTACTAGTTGTGTGGAAATAGTACCGATAGTGAGTCCCTTTAGCAATGGTATAAGGCGAAAGTCCACCTGCACGGAGGTTCCGAATATAAGTGCTTTGGAAGGGGTCGAGATTGAATATTCGATCTTATTCGGCCATATATTCTCCACAGACTATCACGGAAACGGTAAGCTCGAGCAACACCACGGGACATATAAAAAGGGGTCGCATCAAAGTCATTGTACCGGTTGGTGTTCACAGTTAGTACATACCATCGCATGTGAAAGCTCCAGAGCGCTTGGGTCAAGGGTTCGAATAATCCTCAATGGTTTCCGTAGAATTATATCCTTGACGTATTTCCGACCAATCTCGGCTTTGAATCGATAAGTAATGAAGGTGTCACGCAGCCCTTCAATGCTTTCGGGGAGGGATCCCGCGAGGATGACATCAAAGGGAAAGTCGTAATTGCCCGCGGGCAAGGTTTCCAGTTTGTTTTTGCCAGCATCTCTAAATGTCCATGTGTGATCAAAAAACCTATTTTCCCTCGAAGACTTTCTGCGACTGCTAGAACCTTGGAGCCTGTTGATATGACTCAGCCCATTAGCATCCACCCGTTTTCCTTTGGTGTATCGCATAAGGGGGGAAAGATAAAAGCTTACAGGATTTTCGACATGCCAGTGAGGTGAAGTCTGAGATATTTGATTTGCAGGGGCTCTGAGAGGCAAAGGAGTAGTTTGCCATTCAACAAGGTGCTGGCGGCCTCGTGTTCATTCCCGCGAAAAACGATATAATCGTGATCTAGTCTGTGGGGAATTGGTGTCAGCGTTTCAGTGCGCCAGAAAAGAAATTGGGGGAAGGAAGAAGAAACAATGGGGTCAAACCAACCTGATATCAAAGTACTTTGCCTGACTGGCGGTCCCGCCACTAGTGAGGAAACTGAGGGCCATGGCAGCACAAGACAGGATGGAGAAAAGCTCGAGGCTAGAATAACCATAGGGGCAGCGGAATAACGGAAAGCCGAGTGAGATCAAGACAGAGCAAGAGAATAATGGAGAGGAGAGGAGAGAGAGAGAGAGAGGAAGGAGAGTATGAGGTATGGTATGTATGGTATAAGGGAAGACGAGCAGAGAGAATTGAAGGAAGCCGGCCATTCATTCAGCCAACCGGTTCTGTCATCTAGCTCAGGCGGAGTGCTAAATTTGCAAACTAAAGGTTTGGACCATCCGGAACTTGTAGACTTATTAGTAGGAGAGGGGGAGGAGAAGGAGGGATTATTGGTACGTGTACGACGCTATATTGTATGTCCATACAATGTACATGTACATGATACATGTACCTGCCGCTGCGGCCCCTAGGCAGGTCCATGGGTACTGGGTACATGCCACCCGGTGTGAAGCCATGGATTGTTGGAGATAAATATAGAAAGAAATACGAGCGGGAATTACAAATTTCAAGGAAAACTGACGTATGAGGTCATAAAGTTTGTGATCAAGAGCAAGAGACAAATTCCCATTTGCCCTAGCACTAAGTTAACTAACCAAGCAAACAACAAAATGAAAAATGATTGGTGTGCCTGGAGTGAGATCAATCTGGTCTCTGAGAGAATTATTCAAGGACCTCGATAATGTTTTTCTTATTCCCATATTGTTCTCGTAACCTTCCAATAATGAAGGAAATAATATTGTACTGTACGTAACTACGCGGAATGAGGACTGGCTGACACATTATTATTATTATTGACACTAACTAGTTAACTACTAAAACTTATTAACTACTACTTTCAATTATTCTATCGAAATTTTCCACGCCAGACAGACCCCCACGCATTTGTTTGATCTAGTAGTAGCCTAGGCCAAATTCCTTTTTTAAGGTAGTGTATTGTATATAGTTACAGACTATCCTATCAGGTCGAAGGTTTGAATCGTAAGTTACTCGTAACTCGTACTCGTAGTTAACTATCTATGTTGCAAAAAAAAAAAAAAAAAAAGTTTCCAACAACAACAAACAAACACCCCCTTGCACTATCTACACCTATCCTATCTATCTATCCCGATAAAACCCGCTGACGTTTACAGTTCAACAACCCACGGGAGGGGGTGGATCTGGCCCCTTCTTCGGCTTCAGCCTAGAACATTAACAACATATAAGCATTTTGCTGCAAGATGACACAACTGCCGGTTGTGCCGTGCCCAGCCTTCGCCGGCATGGTTCCAGTTTGTGTTGTGACTTTTCTCTCTGGCCAATAAGTACGGAGTACAGCCTCAGTAAGTAGTAGTTAGTAGCTAACTACCTAGGTACTAACCTTGCAGTCAACAACCCCGTGATTTTTGATTTTTACCGTCCGTTAATACATACCCAATTCGTCCGACCCCCTAACCCAACCCTGCACAGTGGTTAACATATCGACTATAAAATAGAATAAGTTAACTTATACGAAGGCCAAGCCGGCTAGAATCGAACCTTCCTTACTTTGTTGCTTTGGGCACTTTACTAATATTAATAATAATGTATAATATAATATGCAAGAGCGGGGGGTGAGACGGAAGAATGGCAGAAGATCAAATTGATGATCATTGCTAGCTCTACGCTGTTATGTCCCGCTACGATCAGAATTAATTATTATTATTATTATTAACTTACTAAGTGACGAACAGACTGACTTGTGCAATCACCTCTTCTTCTACCTTGCACGGGTTGCCACTATTATTGGAGCTAGAGAGGAGATGGCCTGACTGATGACCCCTATCTATCTATCATACTATACTTATTATACTTATTAATAACTTGAAAAAAGACAATCCAAAAATCGTAAACTGTTTACAATCCTGCAGTATATTTATTCGTGACAACAGAATCAATCAAAGTCATCCTTTTTTTTTCTTTTCTTTTTTCGTTTTTCGTCTCCTTCTTTTGCCCTGCCGCTCTTCCAGTAGTATAGTATGTTGTATCGCGCCAAAATGACCGTCCTTAAAACAGCTATCAGGGTGTGTCCTTTTCTCATGTAGCCTCACTGCCCAAGCATCACTGAAGTTATTTGCAACCTACAATCGAACTACGAGCATTTCGAAAGGTGAGGTCATCCATCGTTGTCTTCAGCGCCTCCTCCTGACTGATTGATTCAAAGACGGTGCCGGGATCTCGGTGTGGAGAGGTTGGAATGTGCCAAGGTCTATAGTGTTTGCGTTGGGATGGCGTTTCTGAGGGACGAATGAACCCCCAGAACTCTACTTGGGAAACGCTACTTTTCAGGCAACTGATCTGGGGAAGAGTTATATCTATCACCTGAGATGCAAGACTTGAATGGTGACGTGACGCGGGGCGGAGAAGATGAATTTTAAAAAGGAGAGGTGAAAAAGAAAAAGCTGTCCAACAAGCCCTTCAAAGTCGCCAAGGGCTATCTATCCTATCTATCATCTATCTATCAATCATGTATGCACTCAAACCCCATTATTAATTGCACTGCTGCACAGAAAACTTTTCCAAGTGCCAACGCTCAAAAGAGGATCGCCTAGAGTTTTAGCCTTCCGGTTCTTGGCGTTATGCTGGAACGCCCCACAGCGGCGCGAAATGTGAAGATATGTTTTGTTGAACATGCCGCGGGGCACTTTCTAGGCAGCTTTGCATAACTTCTTATAAATGCTCAACCGTTGCCCCAAGTTTGCTGTTCAATCAAAACAGGGATGTGCCGCTGGATTTTTTTTTTGCTTGTCCAACCAAAAAACCATTTTCCAGTCTATCTATTTTGACCTAGTGAGCCACAAAGCAGTGCTCCTACATATATAATAATACGCTTCGCCGTGCCTTCTTCGAGTTCTTCCGCTCTCATTAATCCATATCCCATAAAAGTCAATGTGGGCCGGAAATAAAATGCTTCCACCATGAGATTTTCCTTCTCTTTCAGCGAAATAAAGTCATAAATCTACTTTCACACCGACGACTTGACAAGTAAATATGACTTCAACCGTTCCCCTAAGGGTAGCCATTTACCAAAACCCGGGCATCAAGCACTGGAGCTTGTTCATCGATGCGGCAGAGACAACTAAAAAGACCATCATTCATCTCCTTGGTGCTCGACGGAAATATTTCATTGAAGTTCGAGCGCGATCGGACGCAAACATTTCGAATTCCCTTATCGAGCTCTGTTCCCTGTGTGAGATTGATACAAGCAATGTCGAGACCGTCAAAATCATCGCACAAGAGACACCTATCCGCAACGAGGTGTCTGATTATAGTTGCCAGGATTTCATCCTCGAGGTTCTGGATAAACTGGAAACGAATGGAGTCATTCCAAATAACGCGGACTACCAGAACAAGAAAAGAATCCTCAAGGAAAAGCGCGAAGCCTGGAAGTAAGCTATACCATCAGTTTTTCTGTCAGATTAGGATATGGTAGAGGTCCCTGAAGAGGCGTCCTTTGCGGGGAAGTTTTCCGTTTTAGATCCTATTTTGTAAACGCTATTCTCGCGAATTCATCGAACTATATCCGTCCTCCAGTTCCACAAAAGGTTGCCCCAAAGGCGGTCAACCAACCAACGCACAGGAAATCGTAAGGGTGAAATGGAGTCTGGCACATAGAGATACCAATCATCGTCAGTCTCAATGCTCTGTCCATTTGACAACGTCGTGCACTCATAGTATTCGGGATAGAAACCACCCTCCTCCCAATCAATAATCCCAGTTACAATATAAGCGTCCGCGTTGCGAGGATCTTTTTCGACCAGGATATTTGTTTTCTTTAAATCACCGTGTGTAAACACTGAACCCCGAAGAGATTTATTTTCCTTCTTCAAAAAGGAGCGAAGTAGCTTGGCGTAGGAAGGGCTTGCACGATGTTTCGCAGAGAATTGCAGCTCATCAAATTGCCATGCTGTGATTATACCCTTTTTGGAAGAAACTTCCATGATACGATAGTCCTTAACCCCTTCCCCACCTACACCTCCTAGCTGCAGTCCATCACGTTGTTGTAAACTTCGGAGTTGAACGAATATCCAGTCCAGCTGTCTCCGAAGAGATAATTTTGCTTCATGGGATAGACTTGGCCATGCCTTGTCAAGGGTGATGCCTGGAATATATGACATGAACATAGCACGGAACGTCCCAAGAGCAACCAGACCGTGGACTCTAGGAATCGGAAGCTCAGCAGCATGGGCAGCAAGGTATTGGAGATTGTGATACTCCGTGAGATCTCTGCTATTAGGGAACACTTTGATTGCAAGCTCATCACCGCACTTGACCACAACTCCTCTAATGCTGAGGTCAAACAACCTTTCCGAATGCAAAATGAGCATTTTCATTGCCGCCGCCAGCGCGGTTTCCGGAGAAGAATAGCTATTGTCCACTGAATACTTCTGGATCAGCGCCGTAGCCTGGTTCGATAGCGGGTAAAGTATACTGGCAGTGTCGATTCTAGAAAGCTTCTCGCAGAGCCAGTCGCTAGGTTCCTTTTTCTGTGGTGGTTCAAGAGTCTTTTCCTCTGCCTTTGCCGTTGGCATTAGCCATCTGTATCGACGGTCGTAGTCTGACGGGAAATAATCCCGCAGGTTGATCTCGGGGTGAGCGTTGATCTCATCGTGGAGATTGTTTACAGTTAGGAAATTGAGGCAGCCAGTCTCGGAAAGCTCTTTATATTGTGCTACTCGATGAGCGCGCAGATACGCAGCGCCGACAACGGATAGGAGGTCTGCCGAGGGGTTGTTCTCGAGCGCATCGTGGAAGGCTTGCATCAAGGTTTGGTTCATTTGCGGGGCATCGGGCCTGTTGATGGTGAGGATCTTTCGTTGATGGTTCAAGACTGCTGCCATTGCTCGTAAAAGGTCAACGCACTGCGTAGGCTCGAAATCAAGGCGTATCGTTTGGGGTTGTGGACAAGCGACGCATTTTTTTGGGAATAGTATAGTATGGAGCCGCCTGGAGAATCCCGAGGTCATGTGACCTCAATCGACAGCCTCGTCTCCAACCTTGTCCATGACGAACCATGCCGCGCCTTCGTCAAAAGCAAGCGTGACGAGCCAGCATGTCTAAATAACTGCATGGACTTATGGACTTTCATAAATCAAGGAAGCAAAGGAATCGTAATTCTATGATCGCAACCGAGGAAGGAGAAAGTAGAATGGAATATAAGTATTATTATCCGAAAATACGCACGAAAATTAGCGGATAGGAAAATACATTGCAATTATACGGACTCCTCTCAAGAATGGATATTTACATGCGAGAACCAGGAACATACGGCAATAAGAGTAAGTGAATGAATGTGAGGTACTCTGCCGCAGTTCCTTCTATAACTCCATCCCATTATTGATGTCAAATAGTGTTTGCGTAGAATTTCATTCGCATATATGAACATCGAACCGCTTTGATGCAAAGGCAAAGTTAGAAAAGGAAACGTAAAAGATTTAAAGATCGCATGAGGCGTCGCCGACTCTATTCGACCAAATGCAAAGAAGCATGGGAAGGGAGAACAACATTAAGTCATTACGTAGTACTACATGGTCTTAACGCTAAGATTCATACGATCCCGGCCGACCCATGTGCCCTGTGCTAGTTGCCGATTCCGAGCCAGATGCTGTCGTATGAGCAACCCCTTCATTCACGCCTTCTCGCGGTCGATCCCAGGTACGGATATGGCCTGCATAATATTAGAGACGACCACGGAATGAAAACCACATGTAATAAGACAAATAATTTCCACGAACATACCTTCAAGTGACGAAGTGATGATACAGTCCTCGAGAAATCCTAGCCAACAAATCGGATCTTCACCAATTACTTTGGACTATACGTCATCATAATAAATGCTATCAGTTTCAAAAAATATCCACGACGAACTCGAGTCGGCCGACAGATCCCTTACCATTATTGGAGGCAATTGTGCAGTTCTTGCTCTGGGCTCCACGGGGTGGAAAGTAGGTACATCGTCCCCCTTCTCCTCCACAGGCTTGCTATCCGTACGGTTCGAGTCAGATCGCACTCGATTAGAAGAAAGAGTGTCGGTACGGCTTCGACTAGACGGTGCCACAACGCTAGTACGTTGTCGTGCCGTGGCTTGAAGCTATTGAGCATTGGAATTTATTGTTAGCTTCTTAAGGGACACGCAACTGGGTGTAGATGGCGATATTCTGCTCCGCAACAAAGCATGATATTCATATACAGGGAAGGGAAGGGGCTGGCAACATACCACCTTTGGCCGATGGAGCATTGCAACACTGAAATCCCAGAGGAGTAGTCGGCAGTCATCTCCAACGCTGCCAAACCTATAATTCCTCTCATCACATCGCCAAGGATCAAATGCCACACACGAGACCCACGAGTGGTGACCTTGGCAGCGTGCAACAATTTTGCGCTCAGAGAGGGACCAAATGGAAACGAGATCATCTTGGCCTCCGGTCAAAATGTATTTCCCATCTGGAGACCAGCAAACACAAAGCATCCCTCCATAGTAACTCATGAACGTGTCAATGGCTCTGACGCAAGGTACGGAGTTAGTTGAGAGTGGGTTTTTTTTTTCTTTTTTCTTTTTCTTTTCTTTTTCTTTTTTTTCCTCAAAGATGCGGGAAAATCAGGTTACGTACTGTTCCTTTAAATAGTCAATAATCCGGAGTGAGCCATCTTCCAAAACAACAGCCAGATGTCGACTATCGGGGGAGAACGCGATGTTGTTGATTCGGTGGTTCGAAAGCTTCCAGTAGGCAACAGGGTTGGTCTTCTGATTCCTCGAATTGACGGATTTCAAAATTGTCAAAGTTTGGCTCGAATTATGAGATTTCTTCTCATCATCGGGTTTAGGCTGGCTAATGTCCGCAGTTTCTGGAACGAATGGCGCATCCTCTTTTTCTTTATCATATACAATAAGGCTACCATCTGTATGCGCGGCGAGGAAAAGGTGCTCCGAGCCAGGAATCCACCGGATCTGGTTTATCGGAGAACTATTTATGGCCCCGTTCTTGTTGATGCGAGCATACTTTTGCTGCATTGGCTCATACCACAGGATATCCCCGACAGACGAGCCCATAATCACATCCAGGTGTGTTGTACTTTTCGTCAGTTCATTCACATCATGGCAAAGCATATGCGCCTTCGTGAAAAGGATCTTGGTTAGAGGTTCCTGTTTCGTTTTGGAGCTAAGGTCCAGCCATTGAAAAGCACGATTGATATTAGCGAAAGCATAGACACCGTCAGGACTTCTCTCCGCCAGCCTCTTCGCTGCTGCATCATGGGTAATGACGCGAGAAACAAAGGTAGAACTGCTTTTGAGGATATTGTTCTTGGGTTTACGTCGTTTTAAGCCTGGCCCCTCCTTGCCTATATTCGTTGCGAGAGCGAGGCTGCCTTCTCCAAATGCCGGGGCTGATCCGCAAGTCTCCAATGTGTCAGATGTCGGCCGGCCTTCACTACTATCACTTTCTCTAATGCTCCGAAGATCCGACCTTCCACTCACCGACGTCCTCACTCTGTAGAGCTGAGGAACAGATTTGCGGGGCTGGACGACGACTAGAGATAGCTTAACCCCACACGTCGGGGGATGGACAACCGTAGCTAGAGGGTTCGTGCTGGTAATGGGAGCCTCGGAAGGATGGGGAGGTGGAGTGGCAAGGAGTAGATCGTCCCTAAGGACATAAGTTCCTACTCAGTGATTAGTTTGTAAGGGCCACGGAATAAGTACAACAACTTGGGTGCAAACCTTCTCCAACCTGAAGGGAGCAGCCCCCTTCGGGACGTTTTAGAACGTTGCTTGTTTCGATAATTGGTACCGGCAAGCCGTTTACCGTGCCATTAGCGTACGCCAAAGGCATCGAGTACCGAGGCGGGGGAGGAGGTAGTACGCTAGATACACATGTGAGATGGGAACTCTAACAGCTAACAGCAAGAAGGTGATAAGTGCGACTATCTCTTTGCCAGGGAGATGCAGTGAAGATTCACCATTCACCATTCACCATTCACCGTTATGCCAATATGTATGGAGTTTGAAGAGTGAATAGCACTTACAACATGGCGTCGGAGATGGACACCTATATCCCAGATTTCAAAATGTTTAATGGGTAACAACGGGACAGGAAATTGCAATCCTACCACTCAGACGATGTGATAGAATATACAAGCGAGAGACTATAGGCCGGAGGTATCGATTGCGCCCGAGCAAATTGCGTAGGAGTTAAACCCAAACATCCAAGAAGATAGACAGGGACATGTTAAACAAGTCACCGCGATAAATTATTGACAGAATAATAAGAATAGGCAGAGAGACGTCACCATCATCAGCGAATCTTACTGCGGCGGACGGTGGAGGTTGAGATCAACGGCGGCTGAGTTAACTAGGGCTGCGGGAAGGTGTGGGGAAAGGGAGTGGAAACGGCGAATTGCACGTGATGTAACTACTGTGTGGAATAACTATAAAGTACTATGTACAGTAATAATAAGAATATATAGGAAACCAACCCGTTTTAAGAACTGTAATTACTGACGGGGAAATATATATATATATATGGTAGTGTACATGATTAATTCACACATAGGTATCGTAAACTGCATATAGGTATATTAGAGGTTAGCTCCAGAGATATAGCCGCATAAATAAGGCAGATATATTCCGCTGGTAGACGCCTCCCTAGTACATAAAAAATAGAAGAAGAAAAGAAGAAAAAGAAAACCAACAGGCCAATGGCCCAGTGGGCGGCTCAATTCACGCCACCCGTAGCTCTGCGCCATATTACCACCGCGGCCGCTCCAGCACAGACGACCGCCCCAATTGCAATCCCCCAAGCCATCCATTTCCCTTCAACATCTTCTTCGGTTCGTGGAAATGCCGTGTTAGGCTCCATCGCTGCTTCCGCAATGTGAACAAACAGTTCCTGAATAGAATTCCACGTTACGCTGACATGCAAAGGGGGGCCTGGCATGTTTAGCCGGGTGGTGTATTCGTCTGGCTGAAACTCTGCTCGCTGCGTAGTCCGGTCCAGATCCGCTTTGAGTGCAACGAAAACGCTTGGTACCTCCTCGAGATGTGGGTATTTATTTCGCAGCGCCGGGATGTAGGCGAAAGAATCCGGGTCAGAAGAGTCATATGTGTAAGCGACAACATCGCATTGGTCCAGAAGTTTGGTCTTGTTTTCCAGAAGGGCAGGTTCCAGCTCACCCAGCTCATCCAGGATGAGGTAACATTGTTTGCCGCCGGGCAATTCCACGGTATTCACTGCGGTGCGTGGTTGGATGGTTGGGTGGTATGTTGAGCTGAAGCCACGGGAGAGAAATGCGTCGAGGAGGGATGATTTACCCGAGGCTGGCGCTCCGAGGACATGACACATGACAACATTACGGCCAACGCGGCCAGGACGTCGTCGCTTTTTCCGGGGTTTGGTCACTTTCAGTGCCGCAGTGGTTGTCGGGTTCCCTCGATCGGATGACTCGAATCCAAGGTAAGCAAGGTACTCGAGTGTGGTTTTTGGTGATGTAAACGTCGTCATACTCCATTGTGCGAGCCAGCCCTGCAAAGTCACATGGCCAGCCTCGTTTCGTACAGTTGAGCAGGGAAACGCCCCTTCTATCCAGGAGGTGGGTAGGCCGGGGGTTGGGGCAAACAGCGAAGCCAACTCCGTGTCATTGAGTCCGCCATCGCTATCCTTGTCTGAGAGAAGGAACAAATCGACAAGGAAACGATACCCAGCTGGAGACAGTTCCGCGGATGCAAAGGGAGGAACTTCGAAGCGAGGGTGGAGGAAGTCTTCTTGAAGAGACAGGTTATCCGTGTATTTGAATGTCCGCAGTATGATCCATATTGTTTCATGGCGGCCCTTTTCCGCATAGAGTTTATTAAGTTGTAAAAAGCCCCGCACGCTAATTCCAGCAGGCGTAACAGCATCCGGGTCAAACCTGCGTATCGTCTCCTTGATATGGTCCAAATCCTCCTCCCTGAGGGATTTACCAAAACATTTTGCCTGAAAAGAGGCAATTTCCTTGTCACTCAAATATCCGTCACGATCCTTGTCACATAAATAGAAGATTCGATGGAGTGCGCTAACGGCGGCGGGTTTCAGAGCCGATTCCTTGGAGTCGAAGAGGGGCGCGATGGGATGTGTGACGGCCTTTTGACACAGAAAGAATGCTTCATTGACGTTCCGATGTTCTCTACTGCTGGTTCGAATGCAAGAGTCAATCTCCTTGAATTCTGCCATTACCGGAAGCATTTCATCCTCCACAACCTGGGCCTCGTTCCCCTCAGGGGCGAGATCCGACTTGTTGGCACATAGCACGACCGGGACATTGACACCCAAAGAGCGGAAGTATGGCAACCAAAATAGAGCAACTCTCTCGTAGCTGTAATGGTCCGAGTATACCAGTAAGATAACATTTGATTTTCGTATTTCCTTAGCCAGGTTTGCTCGTTCCTGCGGAAGGGCGGAGGTATCTACCACGGTGGTTGTAGTCACATTGTCAGGAGTGCCGATGGTCGGAGGAATGGTGATTTGAGGAAGGACAGGCTGGATCTTATTTGTGATAAAGACCCCCTTGACGAGAGAAGTTATTAGACTGGACTTCCCCGTTCCTTCGTCGCCGCACACACAAATCCGCACTAGGACACGAGGAGTATGAGAACCCCGTAGCTACCAGGAGCAAAAAGTACGTGTAGAAAACTTACCCGTCCCCATGTCAATATATCGTTATTGCGGTTAATTGTGTCTCGCATTAAAACGAATTCGAGGATATGCCCACTGCCACGCTTCCAGGAATTTTCAGCTGAGAGTTTGCCGGTTGTTTTCTTGCTTGCTTGCTTGCTTGCTTGCTTGTTTGTTTGGAACAGACACAGAAATAATGATGCAAGGAACGAACAAACAAGCCAAACAGTAAAGTTGCAAATGCGCCGGAATAAAGTGCAGCCGACTAACTACCGATTATCAGCCACAAAGCCGTCGCGGAAATACCTTTGTTCCGCGCGCATCCAGCACGTGTCGTTCATGGCAGGGCAAGCCAATGTTACGTCAGCGGAAACTTGACAGGTTTGCGGGATACTAGGCGTAAGAATCAGGTAATCTTGTTACACTACATCTGGTGCGGCTCGGAGCTTAGATGCATGTCGCTCTAACGTCCGTAATACATAAGATTACATCCTCGCAGCGTCACTGACTCAGCCACTCTCCACACCCCCGGGCACCCAACCCAACCCAAGAGCCAGACTTTCCAACACCTTAGTATTTTCTCTCCTCTCGTTCAACTCCCCTTCGCCGCCTCTCCATAACGCCGTGGCTACTTCCAATCCCATTCCGTATCTTATACATATTATTGTGTTGTGAAGGCACGGGTCTCCACAAAACACGTCTCGAATTCGCGGACCTAAGCTTCGGAGTGACGCCTCTGCCGCGACCATCCGCCTTTTCTCCTCCTTATCCTTATCTTGCTCATCAGCCACTTTCCCCTCTATATATTCATACCACGTTATATATATATATATATCCGTAGCCAAAGTCATTCCCCTCTTCGTTCATCCAAGGTCTCGAATTCTGTGTCCAACTAGCAAATACTTCCGGGAAACATGCCTCTGGGAATTCATAATCCGCTGCCCTCTTCTATGAGGAGTGAGTTGGACCCCGAATTGTTCAAAACCCTCATGCAACTACTCGTATCCTACATACTGACTGACATCCTGCGGAAAATAGGCGAATGCAGAAAAGCTGGAAAAATCCTTGCTTCTTTTGTCGATCCCCGTCAAGCTTTCGGGCCAGATAAGATCATTCCCCCTCAGATATTAGCAAATGCAAAGGTGTGTGATAAGCTCTGCGTTTACATTACGAGGAAACCACTACATACACTCAATTTTTGTTGAAGTTCTTACGGAACGGGGTTACTGACTGCTGCGGTGGTAGGGTCTTGCGGTCCTTACCGTGATAAAAGCGGGCTTTCTTGGCTCTGCGCGATTCGGTTCAGGTATTGTCGTTGCCCGTTTGGCAGATAATTCATGGTCGGCTCCGTCCGCACTCGCCACAGCCGGGGCGGGATTCGGTGGACAAATAGGATTTGAACTAACAGACTTTGTTTTCATTTTAAATGATTACAATGCCGTCCGGGCGTTCTCTCAGGCCGGTAGCATAACATTAGGAGGCAATGTTTCAATTGCAGCTGGACCCATTGGGCGCAACGCCGAGGCTGCTGGAGCTGCGAGTATGAAAGGGGTTGCTGGAGTTTTCTCATATTCCAAGACAAAAGGTCTTTTTGCGGGTGTAAGCCTGGAGGGTAGTGTACTAGTGGAGAGGAAGGATGCAAATGAACGGCTTTATAATTCCAAAGTTTCTGCCCGCCAGCTGCTTGAAGGATCGATCCGTCCGCCCCCTGCCGCAGACCCTCTCATGCGCGTCCTCCAATCACGTGCGTTCTCTGGGAACGTGGGTTCTGGTAATGACTCAATGTACAATGATATCCCCATATATGACGACTCGCACGACAGAGTGGTTTGGGAGGGAAGGCGAGGCGAAGCGATGGGAGAGGGTGTGCGACGCGACCGCACCGGATCCTTGAATTCGCGAGATGACTATCAATACCATGATCGACCAAGGCGTGCCAACACTTGGGCTGATGACGTCTATGACCGGTCACCTGGTAGTAGCGGTAGCATAAACCGATCCTACACTACACGGGCTAATCCAAAAGAGACTTTCGATAATTATAGCCGCGCCGATGAAGATGGCTATTCGTACAGTGACAGGAGGCCGACACGTCCCACAGCCCCCAAGCCGGTGTTCTCCTCGAGACCAGCCGCCTCTTCGTTGCAGAAGAACCAGGCCGTGGCGCTGTTCACTTTCGATGCTGACCAGGAAGGAGATTTGGGATTTAAAAAGGGCGAGGTCATCACCATCATAAAAAAAACGGACAAGAAAGAGGACTGGTGGACAGGGCGAATAGGTGATAGAACCGGCATCTTCCCTAGGTAAGGATTTTGTAGACTGTTTTTATTCTTCCGAGCCATTTGGACAGCTATACCTGTTGCTCTATACCTTTTCTGTCAAACTGACGATTATATATCCCCTTTAGTAACTACGTGGACGCCTCCACTCTCTAACCCGGCGTTTTTTTGATAATGACCAACATCCACCGCTCCTCCTGTCAACAGCATCCGCCAACAGACGATGTACTACCCAAGCATGCTCTTTTACGCGCCCCATCTCATTTTGACCATTCTTGCCCTTTTCACCAGTGAATTACCAACGTCTAGCCAACATCCCCAAGCGAAAAGACCGGCCTTACCGCCTCCCGTTTTACCCATATCAACTGTTATATATACCCGTAGCCCTATTTTTAGGAGTATACTTACATACATGCCGATCTCGATTTCTTGGGTATCTTTACTCTTTCGTTTTTTTTTTCTTCTCTTTTCTTTTCCTTTTTTTTTTTTTTTGTGCATTTTTGAAATCTTCAGCGCTTCTTCGGTTTGGTATATTATTGCTCAATTTTGTTTTTCATGTCTTCTTCAAAATGGCGCCAACACCTCGTTTCTTGCATTTTTCGTTTCTGTTTAGGCCCGGACGTCTGAGCTCAGCCCTCCCCCGTCCTTTCTTTTTTTTTTTGTTTTTTAACCTCAATCTAGCTCCAAACTTAACCATTCCATGGCATAAAGAAGATTCACTTGATACGGTTTGAACAAATTATTATCCATTGCAGAGACAAGGCAAAGCACGAATTATGAATATTTTCCGCGGCGACAGCTATCCCCTAGAAGCTTGACCAGCCAATCTTTTGCACTGCCAGGCGGCGAGCTATCATACAGGCGGTCGGGGAAATGCTTCAATACATGGTTAGCTCCCTACCGTCCTCATTCCCCAGGTGCCCGGATATCTATTACTCTCACTGTTATGACGGGTGCAATCCGACGAGTATTTCTGGCGCTCATCAGCGCTTCCTAGCCGCGATTGGTATGATTTAGAAAGTCAGGCACTGTACATCGGCCTTCCCGATCCGGGTGATTTCCCACGCACCTTGCGATATCCAAATTTTCACAGCGTAGAACGTGCACACCCATATACGGCACATTCATTGTGCTATAATGTACATGTATGTATGTATGTACATGTACATGTACTTTCCCCAGCGGTTATGGCCCACATATGCCAACGCTCTAATAAGAGAAACACGGGGGGTTAATTCGTCCTGGGCAGATCTTAAGAAAAAGAAATGAGTAGTTGATGTTCGGAAAATATTAAATGGCTTGCCTCTTTTTCGTTTCCATCAAAACCTCAAAAGGGTGATGATCAAAAAGGGTGATGTTTCTTCTCCAAGGATTCCCATTCCACGAAACTGCTTCACTCCAAGGAATGTATGGCGGGAAGAGGTTTCAACGGGGTTCCATTCATAATTTTCTCTCGACGACTATCTAAAGGTTACTGTACAATTACATACAACAACCCCGAGGCGCCCTTCTCCGATTGTAATGCTCCCCTCCATCCTACTCATTAGGTGCGCTGTCTTGCATTGAGAAGGTGAATCGCTACTGGAGTTTCCTCACCATGCCCGTGCACATTTCTCGTTTACTTGCCACCAAGCACTGTCATGTCCCTCAGGTTCTTAGATGAAGGGTGGGATTTCATTGTATAGAATGTGTGTCTTGCCGTGACCACGTTCCACGTCGTCGTTTCCATCATAAAGTTGGTAAGCTCTGCCTCTAGAGGTATATGTTTCATATGGGGTGTTGTGCAATCTGCGATCTCGACGTGCGCAAAGCGCTTTGAACCATGTCAGAGAAGAGACAGGGTTTTACATCATTCCCACTTTAGGCCTTCCCTATTGAAGCTACGATTGCATCTTCCTCTACGACTTCTGGGAGTGCGAATAGTTTCAGCTACTTCAGTATCCAGTTATCACATTTTTCAGCTAAATCACAGCGCGGGATTGGAGAGGCAAGGTGAGGTGATTTATCTGCTCGCGTTGGGCGGCGGTGACACACATCTTCCTTCAGCTCGACTCTCGATAACATCCATCATATTTAGTTAACAGAGAGCACGTCCTTACAAAAGTAGGTACGATATGAAGAACATCCGAAGGCGAATCACATCTATTTGGTTCATTTCTTGTAGCGTGAGAGGTACAGACACGTTTTGTTTCTAAAGCACACGAGCCTTGGTGTGCTAATTATTGCGGAGCTAGTCCGTATTAGGAAACAGTGATTCTACAGGCGTGCAATATAGTAGAATTGGATATTTTCATCATCATTACAAGCATCAAATGGTCGCTTACGCTCGCTTTGCTGCTTGCGCAGCCTCCTCTACCACTTCCACTCTCCCCCCCGACCACTCTCTACCCCCCCCTTATCACCCCTTCCACCTCTTCCACCCCTTCCACCCCTTCCACCCCTTCCACTCTCTACCCCCTCTACCATCACCACCGCCTCTACCGCCCTGCAGCCCTCTCTCTCACTCCA